TGATAGCTTGTGTTGCGATTGAAACGTCGTGATTTAATTTATTTAATTTTATACCTACGTGACTTTACCGAACGAACCAAAGAATATGGATCCCTGCAGTCACGAAAACTTCAAATCTAGATTGTTTTTTGTATTATTTACCCCTCACAGCGAAACTCTTTCCTTGCAATAAACAGCATCCCCCTTTCAACATGCCACTCTCGCTTAAACACTAAGAGCAAATAGAGAGCAGTGATCTTCTGAATTCCAAAAATTATTGACTGCGCCGAAAATAACTCGTCCATATATATAAAAAAAAAGAGAAATACCGCAAATGAAATAAATAAACTTAAAATAGCCTCGGCCTTCGTAGCGGTGCCTCTCGAGGGATTTGTGCATTTCTCGTGTAAAACATGTTCTTTGTGTTTACTCAGTGTGACTGATTTGCCCCAAATTAAGTTTTGAATGTAAAAAACACGCTGACCGCTTCTTCACAAGTTTTCAGAAGTGGATTTGTTTTCTTTCAAAAAAGTAAAGTAGCAAACGTAATATCAATCGCACGATACGGCCTCTTGGTGAAATGTGCTAATCATCATTGTCATAACCATCATCATCATCATCAGTCAGGAGCAATTCAATGCTAGATTAAGGCTTCCCCAAGCCAAATATCATGTAACAATCCACCTAGCAACTGCACACGAGCTGATTTCATTGTTCCATCTCCGCTGTGGCCGATTTTTTCTCAGGCTTGTTACAATGTGACAAGTGCATTGTTTGGCTCCACTCGCAGATATTTCTACTCCACGGTAATTTTCTGAAACGGCAACGTATTCTGTCTCTCGATACACACTCATATGTGTTTCGTCGGTGTAAACATTTTCCAAAGCACCCCATGCTCCAGAGAATTACTTAATGGCAATCAGTCGGTAAATGACAATCTCAGTTGCGCGTTGGCTTCATATTTTTATCGTCGACGGCGCCACAGCAAAATCACTGGTTGCGGCAATTTCTCCACCCCGCACCCACCCCCCTGTGGACCCTCCCTGTGGAATTTACCGCATTGTTTAAACGAGGGAAATTGAAAATAATGGGACTTGACAATCTCAAAACGCGATTGCACCTTGGCAGTGACAGAAAATCAGTGTCCTAATGTATGGCGCGGAGAATTCACGCAACACAGATGGCCCCGCGGTGGCCTAATTTAGCTGTGGGGGGGCGGCACGGCTACTCCGTAGCCTCCCGCCGTGATGCCGGTTGTGCCGTGAGCGATGGCCCTCTCGCAGCTGGGCTCGTTTAGCCGGTTGACGTCGATGGCGGCGATGCCTTGGCCTGGCGCTCGGTGCCGTGAGTCGCGGGTTCGAATCCGGCAGGGCCGCCATGGTTGTTTACAGTCGTGTGCATTAACCGTAGAATACTAAGAGCTGCATGCTGCGTGGTGGATGTTAAAGACCCCCATGACATCATGGTCGAAATCGGGCCAATTTGTTATTTTACCCGCAAAATGTTTCGAGACATTGGCACCTACTGCGAAACTGCTGCAGTCTTCTCATCTGTACAACACGGCATCTTCCTTCCTTGATCACCTTACGCTGTAAGAACGGCGCGGATAACAAATGTATTCGTAATTTGATTTAACGACAATAACTAACTAACCCCAGTTTCTGCAGTTTTTAGTGATGATGGACTTGCAATGAATGAATGTGCAGAATATGGCTTTGACTTGCTGAGCTGATGACTTGGACTAAAATAATCTACACGGGTGCAGCGGTGGTGCAGTGGTCAGTTCGCGACTCCATGAACCCATTGACCTTAGGTCGATTCTGGGCTGAAGCTAACATTGGTTTTGACCGATATCTGAACCAATCCAGCGCTTATAGACCAGCGTGGTGATGTATGGTCAAACAAGTCACCAAGACCGACACGGCATGGGGAGGCCTGCATCTAGCAGTAGATTTACTAAGGTGGTGTAAGTTATGTCAGTGGATTTTAAGTAGTTAAATAGAGCTATCCGCCTGGTTTGTAACTTACGGACTCCCCATTGACTACATCCAACTTGGACCCATGTCTCACAGAAGATGGCCCTTGCCTTTTAACATTTGCAGTTCATCAGCATTTGTTGACGCAAGCCTAGCCCTGCTGATGAGACTACGTATGTCGATACCGGTCCAGGTTTTGTTTGTATTGAACCATTGCTGCTGAAATTATGCACTCCCTAGAAAGCCATGTGGCTGATGGCATGTGTAGAAAATATATTTCATAATAGTTTATTTTTGGAATGACAGGCGTTTGGAGGGAGTGTATTTGTTGATTTGGCCCCAATGTAGAGTCCGTGCTTGGTCGTTAGCTGCGTCTTCGGTCCTCGTCAACGTGGCACCGGGAGCGTCGCCCCGATTGACGGAGTTGGCCATTGGCACCGTGCTATTCGGATGACGGACGCGGCACGCATGACCCCCCCCCACCTCACGACGTTCGTCCAAGACCATCGCACATTCCGTCGCTTTGTGGGCGCATCACGGCGACGCACCTGCTAGCGCTGTACGCGTCCAAACGAACGAGGGAGACGAATCGCGCATGTGACACGGAGCACTCTGAAATGCGTTGGTCCTTGCTCCAAGTTGTAATTTAGCGAGCCGCACGGCGACACGATGTTACATGGCGCAGGATGCGTGATGTCACGCTTCGTGACGACGCGGGGAGGCGGGTGCGTGTGGCTTGTTGCATCAACGCCCTAAGACGCTTATATCCGCTTCACCCCGGGGTCTTCTGCCACTAAGGGTGGCCGTTTTTTTTATTAACGTGTGAGTCCCCTAATAGTCGCGCAACTTCACACCAACATTTCAATGATATTGTGTCGTCTTCACGAAAGTTATCACGACCCCATGTAGCAGACAGACGGAGCTAATGCATTTAAAGTTCAGCTTAGCTAGAAATAGTTAAAAAAGGGGCACTGGCCTTTCTCTGAAATCCTCAAGCACCTCGCCCTCGCAGTACTGGCAAGACCTCAACCCCGGTCCTCACATTCACTGCAAGTGGCTCTCAGGGATCTGTCCTGGGTTGTGTCCTGTTACCAGTCTACAATTGGTCATATATTCAATAGTCACAGGATAAACAATGACTCTTACCTCGATGACACTCATTTATAATTGACTAACCTCCGCTCATGGCCCACTCAACCTGGCCAATTGTACCTCAACCTTACAGTCAATCAATCAATTTGTATTTTACTTGCCAATATCGCCCTGAATAAAGTAGGCATCAGTGCACATTACAACAGAACTGGAACAGTATGGAACAACAAGAAAAAAAAAGTCATGACTTCAGCGGCTAGCAACCTGAATGGGTGACAGCACTGGATTTCGGTATCTCCTTGGACTCCTCATTCTCACAGACAACCACGTGCTCAACACAAAGACGTAATCAGCATTTGGCACGGCCACTTGGCTTCCATTGCTACGCTAAAACTCTTCCACTGGCTCCCCATCGAATCACAGCACAACATCGCCATCCTATGCCATTGAGCTCTTTGTTAAAGTCTCCCACCATACCCCTCCTCTACCCTTCTCACATCACTGATTCACAGCACACCGCCACGTCCTACGGAGCCCGTCTAACAGCCTGCTCATCATACCCAGAACCAGCGCTGTCCTGGCTGAGCAGCGCTTCACCGTAGCTGCATCGGCAGCAGCCGTCTGTAACTCTCTCCCACTGCTGCGCACGCACACGCAGCAGCATCCAAGCAGCATCATCCATCTTCAAGCAGTAGCTCAAAGCTCTTATCTGTCTACACTCTCACCTGTTCAGGCTCACGCCTGTTCAGACTCTTAATTGTTCAGGTTGTTTGAGAGATTGTGAAATCTGATTTTCTGCCTCCCGAGTTGTCAATGGAACATTGCGTCCGATTCACGAAATAAGCGTGCATTATAAATTGTGTTTATTGTTATTATTACGGGAAAGCCATTGGGGTTATGGGTCGGGGACCATTTGACACAAGTCTATGTGATCCACCAGCCCTTGCTTCGAGAGCACTGAATCACAGGTGCGTGCGTGTCCCACACGTGGCTGCTTCGCCTTTAGCCTCTTCTGACCCACCGGCTCGCGCAACGCCAAACAATTCTCTCGTCTCGGCGTGAATCAAACCCGCAACCCCGTTAGCCAGCAAACGCCGAACTGGCAGCTTAATGAGGCCCGCGCTATTGACGTTATCAATATCAGTACCCCCCACCCTGCCCCCCCCCAATTATTTCAGTGGTAACAGTATAAATTGATGAATATTGACCGTGAGAAGCCATAGTTCCAGCTGTGCTGTGACCCTTGTGCCGCCCACGCGCTCGCGCACGCGGTGATCTCCGCTCGCTCCTCCGCGTCGCACGCTCCACCACACCGCCGCGACATTCAGTTGTCAGCAGAGAGGCCAAGAGCAGCAGCTGCATTGTACTTCTTTGCATTGGGGATAGCGCCTTGTCCTTGAGTCTCACCGACGGCTATTCCCCCTGCGGAGGATCTCCGCACGCGCCGCCCGTTACTTTACATGCTGTGCGTGATTTGCCGCGAAGTTTAAAAATCTCTCGTGACGATCGGCGAGTTGAGCGACGTTAGTGACGTCACGTCTGTCCGTCCGTCCGACCTCGCGAGGTGTTTGCGCTGCCTGCTGAGAGAGTTTGGAATAAGCAACTCTCCTTTGCTTTGTGTCTTGAGAATGTGACGCGCGTGCACAATCTTGGACAAAAAAATAATTCAAATAACATTAGCACATTAGACTCGACACCCTGACATTCAAGTAGGCTTGATTTAATCAGACGTGTTGAAATGCCAGCTCCTCAATCACGTGCCTCATTACATTCCTCTGTTAAACTTCCAGCTTTGTGAAATCAACACGACTTGTTATTGTGCCAAATAAAGATCGGCTCGACGATGATGGGCAGGGGGCCCTGCACGGACAAATGTCACGATGCCGCCACCCCAGGCCTCAAAAGAGCACGCCGTCGCGCATGGCCAACCCGTGGGTTTTCTTGTCGTTGCAGGAGTTTCCGATTCTGTGCCAAACGTGTCTCGGAGAAAACCCGTACATCCGCATGGTGAGTCGGCGAGATCGCGCCGCGGGAATTGACCGCATCCACCGCCTCGCTTCTCCTTCTGAGGCGGCGTGGAGCCACCCACCGTGCAGCTGACGCATCGGCCCTGTACAGACGTGTGTCCAGCTAAACTCAAGTTTAAAGGGTATCCCTATTCACATGAGTTTGGAGATATTTCCTTGTTATGTTTTGACATGTCTCCTTTTCAGTTAACATCTCTGCATGTTAGCGAGATGTTAACTACCTCGCCTGGTTTTCAGGACGTCGGGGTTCGATCCCAACCCTGACACATACATATTTGGAGTTTGCATGTGTCTCTCCCCATAGTCGTGTGTATTTTTCTCCGAGTCCTCCGGTCTTTGCCTCCACATTTAGAAACATGCGTTTAGAGTATTTAGCTGCTATACATTTACATTTCGTTGAGCTATCATTTGTGACTAGGTCACTTTTTAAAAAGGGCTATATAGCTCAGTTGGCTTTACCTGGTAAAATAAAAATAGTTTAGATTTTAACAGTTTTAGTTTCGGCGATCATGCTGTCGTTTATCTTTTTTAGCCTATGGGGTGAGAGAGGAGGGGGGCCCCTTGTGACAGCTGTCCCTGCCCAGTGCAAGGTGACACGGCGCTGACTTGCAAATGGGCATTTGCTTCTCAGTATGGAGCGATGTTGCTATTGGTTATTGATGATTAAAATTTAGTCATTATTTATTTTTGCTACGTGTATACTGGGACACATGCCCTTTTTTTCATTCAACCCATTACACTCAAACCAGGTTTAGTCACAGTTGCCTGACTGGGATTTGAACCGAGCATTTCAGCAGTGTGACTTGCATTCCCTTATCCACCTGTCCTTTCCAGCCACTTGGCCTCGTTATTGTTGTGGTTGTCATGAGCCATTCTCAAGCCACTGCTGGACGATTGAAGTGCTCAAGCAGATGGTAGTGACGTCTTGCACTACGTGGCTTCATTTCCCGTCTCTACTGCTTGTGCCCCGAGTCCGTTGACCCATTTGATTGTTTTATTGCAAAGTTAATTAATGCCATGGTGTTCTCTGTGCGTCTCTTTCAGACCAAAGAAAAGTATGGGAAGGAATGCAAAGTAAGTGCGTGATGCTCATTGTTCTCGTGGGCTTGGTGTAAGCGGTGCATTTGAACCTCGCCGTGCAGCCCAATAAAGTTCACATGTCTCATTCACGAAGCCTGGGGCACAGCTCGGGCGTGCATCTAAATCGGTGTACCCGCTGGGAGGTGGTCCCTCATTTACCTCTGCCACCCCCACACCGTCTGGAACTCCTTTCCTCCAGTCGTCCGTGCTGTCGCCTCTTGCCCCCATTCAAGTCCCACCCGTGACCAACTGTGCCCCTCTCTGTATAATAAATAGAGCCATGTGTTTCTGTGCTGTGTCTCGAATTGCGGTGGTGTGGAGAAACGCCCTGCAGAGGCCCGTAGACTGGCACAGAGAAGCGTAAACCAACAGAGAGACCCGTAAACTCACATAGAAAGCCATGGACTCTCAAATAGAGATCTTTAGGCTGAAATAGAGCCCTATAATTGCCTCCCCAAAATCAATATTTTCACCGTTTCTCTACAGAGTTTTGAGATTTCAAATTTAGAAGCCGCATCTTTGCACATTGTTTTGTTTATCCAAGTTGTATTGAAGTTGCCTACTGTATTCGGCTGCATTGTCCTCTTAGCGAGTGGTGATCTTCACATGATTATGGCGTGATCATCACATGATTATAGAATGATCGTCATGTGATCATGACATGATTGTCACACGATTGTCACATGATCGTCACATCATCGGTGCACGATCTTGTGTGATTGTCACGTGAGCATAACATGATCATCATGTGATCATCACAAGATATTATAATAATAGTCACGTGATTGTCACATGATTGGTGCTTGATCATCGCGTGATCGTCAAGTGATCGTCACATGATTACAGAATAATCGTCGCGTGATCGTTGCATGATCGTTGCCCGGCTCTGCCCCTCTAGATCTGCTGCCGCCCATTCACGGTGTTCCGCTACTGCCCCGGCGCACGCATGCGCTTCAAGAAGACCGAGGTGTGCCAGACATGCAGCAAGATGAAGAACGTGTGCCAGACGTGCCTCCTCGACCTGGAGTACGGTGAGTCTCAGCCACTTGTTAACGAGCCAATCAGGCGGCCAGTTGGCCCAGCCAGAGGTCCGAGACGCTGAACCGGCACCGCCGAGGATCCTGCTTCCAATCCAGGTTTTTTTTAGCCAACGCCCGTGATTAAACCAGGTCCTCAAGTGTAAGTTAACATCTCGCCGTGGTGGTGAAATGTTAACTACCTCGCCTGGTCTTGTGCAGGAGGTTGTGGGTTTGATCCTGACCCTGCTACCATTATATTTGGAATTTGCGTGTTTTCCCTGTGGTCACGTTGGCCTTTCTCCGGGTCCTCCCGTTTTTCTCTCCACATTTAGAAACATGCGTTTAGAGTATTTGGCTGCTATACATTTCCACATGATAATCCACTTCGTTGAGCTATTAATTGTGGACAGGTCGCTTATCAAAAAGCGCTTTACCTGGTAAAATAAAAAGTTTAGTATTTAGCTATGGTGACCGGGTGTCAACCCAGTCACCATAGACCACACATAAAACATTGAGTTAAATTAGGTTTCTCTGCGTCCATGCCGCCGTCCACTGCTCACTTAGTTTATCTTAACAATTAATGATCAAATTCTGTTAGGGTCATGGGACGTCATGCAGAGAGAGTTCTTGGGACGGGCACTGTGTGTCCACCACCCCTGCCTCGTTCCTTCTGCCCACTGCCCATGAGCCTCACTGTTATCTCTGCATGTGGGGATTAATTCCAGCTCTGAGAATGAAATCCATCGCCTTGATATTCATGCGACGTACATTACTCACGGTGGCAGGGCAGGTGGGAAAGTGCTGCCATCCTGCTGTGTGGATCAGAGGGCACTTAAAGGGATGGCAAAGGATAGCTCTATGATATACGCTTCCACGGGCCTTTCTCCAACCGCAAACCGTAGCACCCGCCCTGCTAGAGATGCGGAAGTATGCATCACACGTCATGACGTCGTGTGTGCAGTGCGCAGGGACTTAAATTGAATCCTGGTAGAGAACATTGGTAGGGACTGAAAGGCGGTGGAGCATGGGGGATCGTGAGCACTGGAGTTGAGGAACCCTGCTCTAAGCGCTTGGTCACGTAGCCTCGATCATATTGGCATGCATCATTGTCTCAGTGTCGCACAGGACACAACATCCATGGGTTTAAATAAATAAACTGCAAGCAACTCTCATGGATTACTTATCTTGATTGATGGCCTTGAGCCAGCAGCGGCAATTCCACATTCTTATGGAAAAGGCCATTCTGTCCGTACGATGTTGTCTCTGTTGATTTCTCGCAATATGGTACTCATTTTGTGAGCTTTCTTTGGGATTATGGGTGCAGTTGACACTTAGCCAGAATTCGAATTGTCAACCTCCTGAATGTGCGTTGAGTATTGTAGCACAGCACTAACTGTCCCGGTGCTCTCTGAAATGCTTTGTAAAATGTTAAAATGGATTGGAGACCTGGAAAGGGATGGCAAACACACTCTGCAAATCTTAGGAATCCATAGATGTGAATACAACGTGTAACGATGTAAATCTCAATAATGATTACATTCCGGCTGGCGCGTTGGGAAAGTTGTGCCCCTGATTTCATGATCGCTTCTAAGCGCTCAGTGACTGGTGAGGATTTTATAACTTATTGGGGTTTATGTTCATGCATTAAAAAAAAGCAACTCCTGGGATGTTTGCCAGCAGTGGTATTGATGGGTTTGATGGCAGTGATAGCGATGGTTTTAAACCTGTTGCCCATGGGCGACACATGTGCTGACCGTTTCGGACGGTGGCAGTTTTTGGCTGCGACCTGTTATCCGACCGTAAGATTCAGTCGCCGAGTTTTGCGATACTTTTCCCAAATTTGTAATGCTTCTGACGCTTCCCGTTTAATTCTCTGGTCTGACACTGGTGAGACTAGGCCCTAAAGAAGGGTGTCTGGTGTAGACCAATCAGTTTCAAAGACAATGCATGTCTTATCAGAGGATGTTTTTTTGTTTGCATGTTCACAAATACGTGTGGTTAATGCAGACATTATTCCTTGAAAAAGGTTTATATTTGGTGTTTGAACATCTTAACACCTGTTTTATTGCCAAAAAGGGTAAAACCTATTCTTTAGCTTCTGACTCTGCGTCGCGTGAGCGAACTTAAGATGGCGTTTAAATACGGCCATCATCGGTGGCACCTTTGAGAATCTGTAGAACCAGCAAGTGGAATAGCTCGCCCCCTACGTGACCAGGGCACCAACGCATTGTGCATTGTGTATTGCAGCAGCCAGTAGGTCTTCAATTGGATTGAGACACCGTTAAATATAATGTAACTCAAAATACAAAGCTTTTAATTTGTAGAATCTCCCCATCGGCTGTCTCGAATTGTCCGATACAGGTTTAGAGTTGTCATTCATGAGTAAAAAAAAACTTTTAAATCGTAAAAGCCTTTAATTTAAAATCTCCGTTGGAGGTTGACTCCACCAATTGGCATTCTGGTGCCAACAGTGAGTTCCACTTTGTGGGGAGTGGGGGCGATGGTTACCCTGTGGATAGATTACCCTGTACCCAGAGAGACTCTGGAACTTCCACCACTGGCTTGGGGCTGTCACAAAGATGCGCATTGCCCTTTTGCTTATTTGAACAGGGAAGCATTATAACTCTTTGAGCCTGACCACTGACCAAGCGATTAGCTGTTAGCTTAGCCACTGCTGAAGGCCACTAGCCACTACCTTGGCCAATAGACACGCCATTCGCCGCTGACTTGGGTCACTAGCCAGGCTACTCGTTAGCCCATTAGCCGCTAACTTCGCTCACTCGCCAAGTCGCCACAAAAGGCTACGAGACAGGACCACGAACCACTATTTTAGCCACTAGCTAGGCCAGTAGCTAGAGCTTGGCCACATACCAGGCCACTGGCCAGGCCAACACTCTCCATCACCGCGGCGCCGTTGTTTTAGGCCGGAACACAGGATCCTGACCTGATTGGGCACGTAGCGGCAGTGTTTGCTTTGGCACACTGCTGGCATCGGCGATAAGGAGCCGGCCGTTTTGACTGCTTCGGGAGGGCCGGCCGCTGTTAATTTATAATTGGATTCGCCCCCTAACGTGGCAGCAGTCCAGAGTCACGTGCCCCCCCCCCTGCCCTTCGTGCCTCTTGAGAAAGCTTTGAAAGAGGCAGATTTCTCACGGTCAGTGAGGGAGAGAGAAGGTTGTGCATTGTACACTGGATGTAGACCACGATTTCTCCATCTGTGGTTGTTTTATAGATAGACTGGTCTCTGGCACGGCTGCGACCAATAGAGATGAGCGCTGATCCAATTCTGTTTTGGGGATCACCTTTTTCTTTCAGCAGCCAATCATTCTACAGTGCACAGATACATGAAGTACCATTTTGTGGGAAGTCATCACCCTCATTGGTTCTTTATTTAGAAGTGGGACCTTGCTTATACAGGAACAGCATATAAATGTATGTATGTAGAATTTAAAAACAACTTGACAATGATTAACTTGTACCAGGCAAAACAGGATGCCATAGTGGAAAACATGCAGCCTAATAATGTTTCCCTAACACAACTATTCAGCGGTAATCCTGCGGAAACACCGGCGCGTTGTAGATTCTTAAGAAATTTCCCGTTGTTCTGGACTCTTGAGTGTAGCAAAGCACTGCCTGGAGTTCGCAGACGGTGGAAGGGGTGCTCTGTGGTTAATCAGACGCAACCTCATTTTCACAAAGGCCGAACATCGTTGGTGCCAAACTGTGGAGGAACCCTTGCTAGCTTGCGGGTATCTTTCACTTTATTCAGTTCGTGCACCGTGTGCACCACTTGTCTAAGTAATTTGCAACGAGCGGCACCGTCGAACTCCCAGCTCGAACGAGCAAGCATCGGCGCTCGTCTCTGTTTGAATGTGGTGGAAGTTCCACATTGATATGGCTGGGGCCAGTCTATCTGTATGAAGACCACCGATGAAGTTTCGCAAAAGTGTCACCGCATCCAACGTGCTCGCGCCGGAGCCGCCCAGAGCCACATATATTTGCAAATCAATGTCGACCGTAAAACAAAGAAAAGGAACCGGGGCGTGCATTTGCCCTGACACGCTCGGGTTAACGAGCTGGGAGCTTCACCAGAAGAGTTGCTGGCTCGTTAAGCATTTCCGGCTTTATCGGAGGGCTCCCTGCAGCAGCGTGTGGGGGCCGGTGTTAGGTTGCGCACGCTCTTTGCTCCAAGCTCTTTGTAATCGGAGCTGGCCAGCGTGCTTTTAAGTTTAGCAGGTGTGGAGCTCAGCTGTGCTTTGGGTAAGAGTGTTAAGGATTATGGCACCGCAGCGAGCGGTGATCGTTGCTTGGTGGGAATTGCTGTCCCCTACAGGAGCAGTAGGGGGTGCTGTTTCCTGGGTTCAGGGAGTGAGGCACTTATCCCCTCTGGGTGTCTCAGTGAGACTCTCTCCCCTCTGGGTGTCTCAGTGAGACTCTCTCCCCTCTGGGTGTCTCAGTGAGACTCTCTCCCCTCTGGGTGTCTCAGTGGAGACTCTCTCCCCTCTGGGTGTCTCAGTGGAGACTCTCTCCCCTCTGGGTGTCTCAGTGAGACTCTCTCCCCTCTGGGTGTCTCTCGTTGAGACTCTCCCCTCTGGGTGTCTCAGTGAGACTCTTTCCACTCTGGGTGTCTCAGTGAGACTCTCTCCCCTCTGGGTGTCTCAGTGAGACTCTCTCCCCTCTGGGTGTCTCAGTGGAGACTCTCCCCTCTGGGTGTCTCAGTGAGACTCTCTCCCCTCTGGGTGTCTCAGTGAGACTCTCTCCCCTCTGGATGTCTCAGTGAGACTCTCTCCCCTCTGGGTGTCTCAGTGGAGACTCTCTCCCCTCTGGGTGTCTCAGTGGAGACTCCCCTCTGGGTGTCTCAGTGAGACTCTCTCCCCTCTGGGTGTCTCAGTGGAGACTCTCTCCCCTCTGGGTGTCTCAGTGGAGACTCTCCCCTCTGGGTGTCTCAGTGAGACTCTCTCCCCTCTGGGTGTCTCAGTGGAGACTCTCTCTCCTCTGGGTGTCTCAGTAGAGACTCTCTCCCCTCTGGGTGTCTCAGTGGAGACTCTCTCCCCTCTGGGTGTCTCAGTGAGACTCTCTCCCCTCTGGGTGTCTCAGTGAGACTCTCTCCCCTCTGGGTGTCTCAGTGAGACTCTCTCCCCTCTGGGTGTCTCAGTGGAGACTCTCTCCCCTCTGGGTGTCTCAGTGGAGACTCTCTCCCCTCTGGGTGTCTCAGTGAGACTATCTCCCCTCTGGGTGTCTCAGTGGAGACTCTCTCCCCTCTGGGTGTCTCAGTGGAGACTCTCTCCCCTCTGGGTGTCTCAGTGAGACTCTCTCCCCTCTGGGTGTCTCAGTGAGACTCTCTCTCCTCTGGGTGTCTCAGTGAGACTCTTTCCACTCTGGGTGTCTCAGTGAGACTCTCTCCCCTCTGGGTGTCTCAGTGAGACTCTCTCCCCTCTGGGTGTCTCAGTGAGACTCTCTCCCCTCTGGGTGTCTTAGTGGAGACTCTCTCTCCTCTGGGTGTCTCAGTAGAGACTCTCCCCTCTGGGTGTCTCAGTAGAGACTCTCTCCCCTCTGGGTGTCTCAGTGGAGACTCTCTCCCCTCTGGGTGTCTCAGTGAGACTCTCTCCCCTCTGGGTGTCTCAGTGAGACTCTCTCCCCTCTGGGTGTCTCAGTGGAGACTCTCTCCCCTCTGGGTGTCTCAGTGAGACTCTCTCCCCTCTGGGGGTCTCAGTGGAGACTCTTTCCCCTCTGGGTGTCTCAGTGGGACTCTCTCCCCTCTGGGTGTCTCAGTGAGACTCTCTCCCCTCTGGGTGTCTCAGTGAGACTCTCTCCCCTCTGGGTGTCTCTCGTTGAGACTCTCCCCTCTGGGTGTCTCAGTGAGACTCTTTCCACTCTGGGTGTCTCAGTGAGACTCTCTCCCCTCTGGGTGTCTCAGTGAGACTCTCTCCCCTCTGGGTGTCTCAGTGGAGACTCTCCCCTCTGGGTGTCTCAGTGAGACTCTCTCCCCTCTGGGTGTCTCAGTGAGACTCTCTCCCCTCTGGATGTCTCAGTGAGACTCTCTCCCCTCTGGGTGTCTCAGTGAGACTCTCTCCCCTCTGGGTGTCTCAGTGGAGACTCTCTCCCCTCTGGGTGTCTCAGTGGAGACTCTCCCCTCTGGGTGTCTCAGTGAGACTCTCTCCCCTCTGGGTGTCTCAGTGGAGACTCTCTCTCCTCTGGGTGTCTCAGTGAGACTCTCTCCCCTCTGGGTGTCTCAGTGGAGACTCTCTCCCCTCTGGGTGTCTCAGTGAGACTCTCTCCCCTCTGGGGGTCTCAGTGGAGACTCTTTCCCCTCTGGGTGTCTCAGTGAGACTCTCTCCCCTCTGGGTGTCTCAGTGAGACTCTCTCCCCTCTGGGTGTCTCAGTGGAGACTCTCTCCCCTCTGGGTGTCTCAGTGAGACTCTCTCCCCTCTGGGGGTCTCAGTGGAGACTCTTTCCCCTCTGGGTGTCTCAGTGGGACTCTCTCCCCTCTGGGTGTCTCAGTGAGACTCTCTCCCCTCTGGGTGTCTCAGTGAGACTCTCTCCCCTCTGGGTGTCTCTCGTTGAGACTCTCCCCTCTGGGTGTCTCAGTGAGACTCTTTCCACTCTGGGTGTCTCAGTGAGACTCTCTCCCCTCTGGGTGTCTCAGTGAGACTCTCTCCCCTCTGGGTGTCTCAGTGGAGACTCTCCCCTCTGGGTGTCTCAGTGAGACTCTCTCCCCTCTGGGTGTCTCAGTGAGACTCTCTCCCCTCTGGATGTCTCAGTGAGACTCTCTCCCCTCTGGGTGTCTCAGTGAGACTCTCTCCCCTCTGGGTGTCTCAGTGGAGACTCTCTCCCCTCTGGGTGTCTCAGTGGAGACTCTCCCCTCTGGGTGTCTCAGTGAGACTCTCTCCCCTCTGGGTGTCTCAGTGGAGACTCTCTCTCCTCTGGGTGTCTCAGTAGAGACTCTCTCCCCTCTGGGTGTCTCAGTAGAGACTCTCTCCTCTCTGGGTGTCTCAGTGGAGACTCTCTCCCCTCTGGGTGTCTCAGTGAGACTCTCTCCCCTCTGGGTGTCTCAGTGAGACTCTCTCCCCTCTGGGTGTCTCAGTGGAGACTCTCTCCCCTGTGTATGTCTCAGTGAGACTCTCTCCCCTCTGGGTGTCTCAGTGGAGACTCTCTCCCCTGTGTATGTCTCAGTGAGACTCTCTCCCCTCTGTGTGTCTCAGTGAGACTCTCTCCCCTCTGGGTGTCTCAGTGAGACTCTCTCCCCTCTGGGTGTCTCAGTGAGACTCTCTCCCCTGTGTATGTCTCAGTGAGATACTCGGCATGTCTCGGTGTCTCAGTGAGACTCTCCTTCTCTCTCCCTCTGGGTGTCTCGGTGAGACACCCACTCTTCTATCGTTTCTGCTCAGCGGTTCCCTTCAGCTCCGATGTGGTTTCCCTTTATGTATGCGTGTTCCTTCCTAAGTCTTTGTATTGTACAGAGACGGTGCACATGAGTTACCGTTCACTTTGCCAGATTACTCTTGCAAATGACTCATCTGGCTCTCTTTGAATTCTCAGCTGGTTTAACAAATTCACCAGATACTTGGTTGATCTCGAACGCTGATGGGTGCCGCCGTGCGCGTGTGCTGCCCCTTTCCAGGTCTGCCTGTGCAGGTTCGAGACTCGGCCCTGGCCCTCAAGGACGAGATGCCCAAGTCGGACGTCAACAAGGAGTACTACACGCAGAACATGGAGCGCGAGGTATGTATCTTGTACTTCTTTCTCACTGTGCGTAGCCAGTTTAACACATAGGCCTTCGCGACCAATATCATCCATTATACAGGTTTTTTGAGTTACATCATGATGTAACCCAAAAAACCTGAATTATGTGCGTTGCCAACTGCACTAATCGGAGGTAGCCCTCAGGGCGAGACCCACAAGCCCCGTGGCCCTACGCGACCTCCGACTCTGCTGTTCGTTTATTATTAATGCGGGTCTGCATCAAAATACATTGTTGTACTGCGCTTCTATGCTCCCCACCTTTAACAACTCATGTGGTGAAGTACAGTAAAATGTAACGCATTGTACATTAATATAACGTTTTACTCCAATCAGGTGGTTTGTAACCAATGAGGTTCGCTACTCTATTAACGAATGTTTTTTTTTATTTGCTCGATTTGCCCTGTTTGCCTTGTGTGTGCCACCCTGTCTCGTTATATACATAAATCACAAGTGACGGAACATACGCGACTTGGTGTGTCCATCCTTGTGCGTAACGATCTCGTCGTCACCCGATGAACTGACGCGCCGCCACATGGCCGTTACGGGGAACACGGTGACAGTGCCTCCGCCCTTCTCTGTGACCCTGCGACCCCGTGTGGCAGATCCAGAACTCTGACTGGCACGACGCCCGTGGGCTCGCTGGGCAAGGCGCAGGCGCCCAGTGACATGCTGCTCAAGCTGGCGCGCACCACGCCCTACTACAAGCGCAACCGCCCGCACATCTGCTCTTTTTGGGTGAAGGGCGAGTGCAAGCGCGGGGAGGAGTGCCCCTACCGGTGAGTGCCGCCCGCGTGGCTACAACGGGCAAGAGCAGGTTGGGCTTAAACAAAAAAAGTGACGAGTTTTCTCTTGAGTTGGCAATCGAGTGCATGCCTGTGCATTGAGCGGTGGCGCAGTGGTTATCGCACCGCACTACGAACCCTGCGACCCGAGTTTGATTCTCACTCGCGACCAAGAACATTTGAGCAGGTCCCGTGCCCTCCCCTAGGTTGACTCGGCCGTAAACGAGTACTCGGTGCAATGTGTAATCACCAGCACTGGGTAGCTACAGGCGGCCGTGCGTGGTGTTGACCACCCATCCCCTCGTATGTCGTGCCGGCCTTAATAGGTGCTCACTAGCAGGCTGAATACGGTGGTTCTTCGTGCCGCGCGTGTGCCCGCCATGTGCTCCCCCCACAGGCATGAGAAGCCGACGGATCCGGACGACCCCCTGGCTGACCAGAACATCAAGGACCGCTACTATGGCATCAACGACCCCGTGGCCGACAAGCTGCTGCGGCGTGCGTCCAGCATGCCGCGCCTCGACCTGCCCAGCGACCGCACCATCACCACGCTCTACGTGGGCGGCCTCGACGACTCCATCGGAGAGACGCAGCTGCGGTCAGTCGCTCGCTCCCACTCCACCAACGTGTCCCCATGTGGTCCACCATCCTTCCTTCCTCTCTTCTCGCCCACTACTCCGCCTGGCACTCTCACCTCCGAGCACTCCCGTCAACCAGTCCCACACAATCTATCTGCCTCCCTCTGCTATGTCCTGCTCCACCTCCCTTTCCTATCTCCCACTCTACTCCTGCCACACTCTCCTCTCAATTAATTCTCCTCTCAATTAATTGAAAGGAGAGTGTGACATCACTGCCTTCGAGCCATATCCATTGCCCTTGATGTGTTGAACTTTCGCTAGCTCTTTTTAGGGTGACTTGAAGAAAGGTGCTCTATAGATGTAAAATAATATAATAAGAAGGAAGAGTTAAAAACAGTCTTCATCCTCACGATACAATATGTTTATTATTTGGCCTGCATTTTCCATTCAGCTTTTGCTCTTTGGGTAAAATATTTGTCAATAGGTATTGGGCTTTACCTTTCAATCTGAACAGGCACTCATGTGGTTGGAGTACCTGACTTGCATTAAAGAGCCGACCTCCAAACCATGGACCGTTTTCCTTCGCACTGCCCGGGTTATTAGGCATGAAGGCGGCTCTCAGATGGATTTATTCACAGTTCACCAACTCTCAGACTCTGCAATGGAGTGGCCATATCTCCATAGACTCCAAGCGAGTCTCTCGTCATTGGCCGTACGAAAGAAGATTGCAGAGTGAAATCTGGGTGAGGATTCGATGATTTGCAGGGGCTGTGGGTTCCCCGCTCACCTGCCCCTCCACTGAGAGACGGAGGGCGTCGGTGCGGAGTTATCACGGTGGCTTTTGTCGTGCACAGGAACCACTTCTACCAGTTTGGGGAGCTGCGCAGCGTGACGGTGGTGCCGCGCCAGCAGTGCGCCTTCGTACAGTTCACGACACGGCACTCCGCCGAGCAGGCGGCCGACAAGTCCTTCAACAAGCTCATCATCAACGGGCGGCGCCTCAACATCAAGTGGGGCAGGTGGGTCGCGCCGCCTACTCCGGCATGTGCCACTTCATGGTCGCATGACCTCCCCCCGGCCTTGTCCCCGGAACTCTGCGGAACTCCGCTCGAGTTCGCCACCGCGCAGGCCCTTTGCGGTCGGGCTGCGTCGCTCTCCTGACTTGCGTATTTTTTGGGTTCCTGCCGCCGCGTGTTTGTGCTTTGCGGCGCGATGGCCGACGGTTCTCCCCACGTGTTGTAGGAGCCTCTTCAGGAACTGAATTCAGAGAGAATTGGACAACCGTGCCGAGCAGGACTGTCCGAAAAAAATTGTGATATTCATCGAGTCTTTTCTGGATCTATAACAAACACATGCCAGGATAGAACACGTAACAGGTTCTGTTACTTGTTGTTGTGTTTTAAAGCACTCTTTGTTAATAGTAAAATGTTTAATTGACACGCAGTGCATTAAAACCGACACATTTACAATTGTTGGCGCGGGTCATCCGTAACTGGTGTGTATGACAGTTAAAGATGTTACCTGCTTAGATAAAGGATGTCGGCGTGATTGAATTTACACAATGTTGTGTGGAGAAGACTGCGGGGGCTGGTTAGTGTCGTGCTCAGGTGACTGTGGTGATGGGCCCCTGGTCCTGGTCTCACATTCGGAAGAGAAAATGAGTCACATTGGGCCCATTTTCTCCTCCTGTTCCACCTTCAGGTGGATGGATACAAATCTTAATCTACTGTTCCACAAGACCGCCCGGGCTTTTCACGTGAACGTGCTTACAGACGCGCGAACACTGATGCGACAGACGTCGTCAACGGCCGAGAAAGATTGCGCATCCACATGTCATTAGCATCCGTTAATTAACACGCGCTACATGTTGACGACTTTCTTGCGAAACCGCGAGCTGCAATTGTCGTGCGTTCGTTCAACTTCCTGAAGTGCTAAAACTATAAAACTAAACTTTTTTATTTTACCAGGTAAAGCCCGCTGAGCTATTAGCTCATTTTCAGAAGTGACCTGGCCACAATTGATAGCCCAATTAAGTGGCTTATCACGTGGACATTTCTAGCAGCCAAATACTCGTAAGCTCTAAGCGCACGTTTCTAAATGTGGTGGGAAAAAACAGAGGATCCGGGGAAAAAATTCACGTGACCACGGGGGGAGAACGTGCAGACTCCAAATATACAGCAGGCATCAAGGTCGAGATCGAAACCACGACCTACTGTTTTCCAGGCGAGGTAGTTAACATCTTGCTGCCGCTTTGTGGCAGCAGAGTCGGAGGTTTAATACGCGGCCGCAATCGATGAAGCGCTGATGCTGCAGAGCCGTCCTGTCAGCTGGAGAGCGTCAATAGCACGTTCATTATTCTTAGATTTGTTTTTTACCATAGTTGCTGAGTCCAGGCCCCTAAGGCCCAAAACGCCGAGTGGCCGGCAACAGACGGCATACTCCTGCAGGGTTTAATCGTCAGCAGTTGATATGCGACGATGCCGCTCGGCGAAATGTTCGCTCCGCTGCGTCACGAGCAGGCAACATCCCGCGGTGCGGGCGCTCATTTACATCCTTTTCTTTGCCAAGTGAGCGGGAGCGGTGGCGCAGCGGTTGGCACACTCCACTGTGAACTCTGTGACCTGGGTTTAAATTCCAGCCAAGGCTAACATCAGTGGGGGTGATGTTGTGGCCAACCCACACTGAGCAGTGGAAACAAACACGTGTGTGTGTGTATTGTGATCTGGTGTCGATAGTGTAGCGGTTAGTGTGCTGCGCTACAAACCCAGCGACCCGATTATTTGAAGCGGTCCTGGGCCTCCCCAGGTCGACTCGGAGTACCTCGTGTGATGTGTAAACATCGCCACGAGGCGGCTGGGCGTAGTGTTGGCCACACGCTCCCTCGTGTGCCGTGGCGGCCTTCATAGGTGAAGTGTGTACGCTGGTTGTGTGTGTGGTTAGGCTGTCAAATGCTTGACCATTGTCTAGTGCCGCCGGCGTTGTGAGCCCACTGACCTGGTTTCCATCCTGAGCCCTACCCAACACCATTGGCAATTGGTGTGTGTGTGCGCTTGATATGGGTGCCTCCTAAGGTTGACTTAGCAAAAAGTCAGCACATAGCTACTACTTATTTTAGATCAGGTTGCTTGCAGTGCTGGCCACTTCACCCGTTCTTAATGCCTCTTTAACTGCACTTGCCTCGAGCAATCGTATAGGGGTGGGGTGGGTGTGATTGTTGAGTGATTTTGTGTTGATGTTAATCTATTCGCATATCTGCATTTATAATGACGTACACTCAACTGACTTTGATATATGCAGGGCTACGTTATAGGTAGCATGGAGGGCAGTGCAGTATAATCATCTGTTGTATTGTGCTACAATGTCTGTGCTCCCCGCCTTTACCAACTCGCACTGACCGGTGTGGTGAAGTATGGTCAAATAACCACTATGACCCACACGGTGTGGTGAGGGCCATCATCCAACAGTGGATTTACAATGAGCTGTACATGTCGAGAAAGGTGTAGTGCTGAAAATGCTGGTTTATGCAACTGCTGGCGTAAGAGCTTCCAGTAAAGCAAACTTGGCCTACTCTTCTACATTGACCAGAACATGTTGGAAGAGGTGGATCTACCCACACTCTACCCCCACCACGTGCAAGTGGCTTACTGGCTACCCGTGGTGGCCGATGATTCTCTCCACGTGCATGTACTTATGTGGACGTACACGACCGAGTCTTGGCTTAAAACCAGACATCGAAGTGCGTGACCAGAATCCTGATGGAAAATCCTTCTGCAGTGTTGGCACAAATTTGGCTAAAGCTCTGTTGTCACCGGCGCCGGCCAAAACCGGGTTTGGTGAGACTGCTGCGACGCGGGCTGCTCGCACGATGCGATTGCGCTGACCTGCCGACCTTGGTCAGCAGAATAGCGCGCCCCGTGTGCGGGCGGGCGGGCGGGCGGCACACAGACCCCTGCAAGAGACGCAGCTCCACCCGGCGGGTGATGTATGGCGAACATGTGCCCCGGCCGTCTTGCGTCTTCCGAATGCCGCTTATTTTCGGATTCCTGCTGACTCGGGAAGGCCGATTCGTTCGAATCTTGCCCCTATTTTTTGATATCGCTGAGCGGGGCATATTTCTTGCGCTTCTTATTCCACGGAGGTGCCAAGGGGGGGAGCTAACGCTGCGGCTCTGCCGTCGCTCGCCCCCAGCCGGAGAGTGGGAAATCATCGGGCCGTTAAGTTGTCGCCATGCCGTGGTGATGTTGGCCTGACTGGGCGGCGCTGTCGGAGCGCACATGCAGTTTAAAGGTCACGAGTGAAAGTATCAGTCTCGTTCGGTGTGGTCCAATGGTCGGGCGCGGGTCCTTACAATAAAGATGTTGCTCTGCGAGTAGTCGGCAGGACCCGATGGATTAAAACCTCACACGATTCACCGATTGAAATTAATTTCTGGACCTGGGATTCGAGCTTCGAATTGTCTTCATTAGCCATGATCTATCTGCCTGTTGGATGAAGTTCCTCCCCAAGTTGTGACCACTTCTCAGTCTTGCGATGAATCAAGCAAGCCATCTGACACTTGCACACGGGCCGGGTTAGTTTCATTGCCCTTTGTCATCGCATAATCACAAGCGGCTTTCCTTCCCGTCTTTCATCCCATACCGACCAGCATGGCGAATGATGGCCAAACAACCCCCATAACCGATACGGCATAGGGAAGTCCTCATCCAGCAGTGTATTTATAAAGGGCTGTACATTATAGTTATTATTATCATCACAATAAAGGAAATTTCATGGGCAGGATTTTGAGACCGCATTAGATGTACACCATGTGCAAATGGATTTACATGAGACCCTAACCCAAGCGCTAAGGGACCAACAGGTGGCGATGGGTCTATTAGCGCGCGGTGCGTGGGGAGGGGTCCATGGAATCTGCAGCACTCTGCCCGTCTTGCGCGCCGCTGACTTGGCTTCCCCCAATCACTTTGAGCGCTCCGCGACACGGCTATCCGTCACGGGCTCTGCGGGGGAGATCGTCCTTATCGGCTGGGTGCACACTCCTAAAAAGGCCGAAAGCCACCCGTGTAGCGCGACACCGGCGGGCCGCTTGCGAATTCCCCACCGGTGACGGCGGCGGCCGATGGCCCGGTCGCGCACGGGATCCTTGACACGACTGGCTGGTTACCGTTTTTTGCTCGGCGGAAGCTGCCTGCGATGACACCTTTGCGTTCCATCCCCCACAGCTTGCTGATCCCTCTGCTGCGGCTTCGTGAAATGCCCACGCGGGCTGTACCGTAACATCCTATGTCGCCCGCGCTAATTAAGACTGCGACCAAAAAATACGGGGCACACAAGCGGCGTTTTAGTAGAGCCGTCTCTTACTGTGCCCTCCGCATAGCCTCATCGTGTTCTCCAAGGAAGCGGTGGTTCTCCGTGCGTCAGTCACCTGACGAATATTTGTCTTTGCTCTCATTGGAGCCGTCCGAGGTTGAGTTGTTGTAAAGGGTGACCTTCCTACATCTTCATGCACATGTGCAGATTCTTTGTCAATGGACTGCTGCATGGGATCGCCCCATGCCGTGTGTGTCGTGGAGGGTTTTTGTCAGCTTACTGCTCACTGGTCAGTGGATTTTGCTGCAATGCCCTCTGCTGCTCACTCCGTAGCCACACAGCAGCCTATAATACCAGTTGTTTGGTGGTCATCCTTCCAAGCTCTGTCCAGGCTCCATTCTGCTGAGCTTATAAGATCTGATGAGATGGGGCACATTCCAAGTGATTGGCTCATGGGCCACTTTTATCACCAAACTTAAAACTTGAACAGATTTTAACCTTTTTTCCAGATTGCCGGTGGGACACGTAGCCTTCGTGTCCACCTGCAAACGTGCATTCCTTTTAAATACGCTAAACGGCTGAGTGAACTGCCCCCTCCACGACTTTTCGCGCACGCCCACCACGGAGCTCGTTCTCTCAAACGCCGCTTCCCGTTGAAGGAGCGCCACCCCCTCCCCCCCTCATTACCCTGTCCCGCCGGGAAGGCCCTCGGAAAACTTTACGGCCACGATAGCCAAAAATAAGACAGAAAGTGACCGGTGGCAACGCCATTGAGCGTGTCAGCGGCGAGTGACGTGTTGGCCAGCAGTTGGCAGTGCAAACAAGTGGGTTCCTTCTATTTCCGTCATTTGTGTTGAATGTGCGCACAGATTTCCCTCGCGCTCGCAAAGCACTCATTGCAAGACCAATCGGTCAAACATCCCGATGCTCGACCCTCCTGAAAAGGGAGTCTTGGGAGTCGATGTGATATGTACCGTTTTTAATGATTCATCGTAACATCTGCTCGCATCATGTCAATAGCAGCCAGATGCTGGAGGTCTGAAGCTAACCATGTGGTGGAATATTTTAAGAGCAGACCTCTGAGAGCAGATGTTGACCACAGTTAATGTGGGAATGGGCAGTGGGAATGAAGCAGTGGTCTGATGGCATCGTTGGTATTGGCTGTGATGACCTCTTGACCTTCACGCCTCTCAAGTTTCACGAGCCGTTAAATGTCGATTTCTGTCGAGTTTCAGATGTCCGTCGAGTAAGGAGTGTTCTTCTGCTGTGTTTAATTGTAGTTTGTGGAACTCAATTCCACCGGGCCGCACGGTGACCAGGAAGATGGCAGCACAGCAAGTGTGCTTTCTCGCGCAAGCAAAAACGCTCATTCAAATTATTTGGCCAAACTTCGCAATGCGGGACTGTTCTGAGAAACATCTTGTGGTTCAGTGACAATGTCATGGATTAAATTACATCATCATTGTCATCGTCTCTATGATGTGTGTGTTTCTCAATCTCTCCTCGCAGGTCGCAGGGAGCACCGAGACCACGGGAGGAGATCAGGGCTGGCAAGACCATGACGGATACGGGTGCCAGGCTAGAGCCTGTACCGGGCCTGCCGGGAGGTACGCTGTTCATACAGCAGTAAACGGCGCAGCGTCGAACAGTGCACACAGACTTAACAGTACGAAGTATAGCAGCACCATGGCACAGTGGCACACGCCAGAGCTACACAAAGCAGAAGCACATTAGAAAGGCGCACAGAACAGCAGCGCACATCGCATGGCGTGACACAGTGGGTACGCGATGCGACAGGAAGGCTGCACGGTGCTGGAGCTGTGCAATGGAGTGAAGCCCGACAACGGATCTCTCTCTCTCTCCGCGCTCGTTCCATTCCCGCGTCCTCCACACCTGCAACCTCGACCGCTGGTCGACTCCCTCAGTGAAACTCCACCCAATGGGGAGGCCGCTCGCTCCATTTAGCTGTGCCCTCCTTTGGCTGCCACTTTGTCGTTAGTCTCGACCATGTGCAGCTCTTTGTCTATACACTGCTGGATGAGGGTCGCCGCATGCTGTGTTGGTCGTGGGGGTTTCTTTGACCGTACTTCACTCTGGTCAGTGGATATTGTTGCACTGCCCTCTCCTGCCCACGACGTAGCCATACAGCAGCCTATCATACTAGTTGTGTAAAGTGGTCGTCCTTCCAAGCAATGTTCAAGCGCAAAAGCCTGCTTAGCTTCTAAGACCTGACGAGATTTGGCACTATCCAGGTGGTTGGCTCATGGGCCTCTTTTATCACCAAACTTTAAACTTGATAAGACTTCAACCTGTTGCCAAACGGCCCGTGTGACACTTAGCCTTCACATCCACCTCCAGCCGTGACTTGTCCTGCCCAAGCCCAATCTCTTCTGTAAACGGCCAGTGTGTTGTCTCTAATGTGCGTGTGCGTTTGTAATCCACATGTCACTCTTCCAATGACTCGGCGTAATTTGCTGCACGTGCCTCCCCACACTGCTTTGTACACTTTTCAGCTTTTCTTCCGATTTATGCTAAATTAAACTTTTTTTTTTTACCAGATAAAGCCCACTGAGCTATTAGCTCTCTTTTTGGAAGTGAACTGGCCACAAAAGATGGTGACTTATCACATGGAAATTCATAGCAGCCAAATAATCTAAACGCATTTTCAGGGAGAACATGAAAATTCCAAATATACAGATGTCGGGGTCTGGATCGAACCCATTACCTCCTGCAAACCGGGCGAGGGAGATAACATCTCGCCACCGTGGCACCCATACGTTGCATCACTGCTCGTTCTTAATTCATGCAGGGTTTTTTCTTCAGAGCAGTTGCTGAGCACAAGGCCCAACAATACATCCCGTCAAACAGCCAGCAACAAACGGCTCAAGCAAAGTGCTGATAGATAAGAGTGAAACACTCTTCTTGAGTTAGGTTATTATTGTGATAAGAACTTGAGGAGAAAGAGACAATGATGGCAGGGAATTCCAAAGTGGAGCAGTGCGAGGGAAGACACAGAAAGGGAAGTGAGGTGACCTTGCGAGTGTGGGGAGTCTGCGGGTGAATGGATATGTGGGTTCGTGAGTGTGTGGTTAGTGCACTCTACTACGAAACCAGTAAACGACGCGAGTTCGAATCACACTCACGACCAATAACAGTCGCGAATATTTGAACCGGTCCTAGATCTCCCCTAGGTCGACTCGGTCTTAAATGAGTCCATGGTGCAGTGTGTAAACATCAGCACTGGGGAGACAAAAGTGTCCAGGAGGGGTGTTCGCCAACCACCCCCTCGTATGCCCTGTCGGCCTTCATAGCAGTTACTTGCTAACAACACTCGTCCCAAGAGTCTGTTAAAGGCTGTACGTGGAACCTTTGTCTTGCGTGGGTGGGACATTGAGTGAGCGCGTTGGTTGAACACTGCATGGATCAGACGAAACTGTCATTCTGGTCGACCGAATGGGGGAAGAGTCGTTAGGTCCCCCCTACCCTTGCGTCAAATGTACGAGCGTGGGCTTGATGTAGGGGTGCGCACACACCTGACACGAGCCCCCCCCCAAGTCACCCCGACCCCCACCGGCGGCCGTGCCATCTCTGCAGGGCGCACGGAGCCCCGGCTGGGGGGGCCCCACAGCTGCCCACGCGGCTTGGCACGCGCGCGCTCATCTCAAGGATCTGCGTGCGCCGCAGCGGAACGGCCGCAGCTGCTGTGTTCCCGGCAGCTTGGAAAGAAAACCTACTTTTAATTTTAGATATATTTAACATTTTCCACCAATTATGCCCGATTGTGCCTTTGGCTTGCTGAACGCACGGAGCGAGTGAAAAAAGGCCCCCACCCCCCGTTTCTGTTTCGCTCTGGATATTCCCCCAAACCGGCCCGACCGGCCAGCGTTGCGGGGGATCGATTAACCGGGGCTTAGCCCCACGTGCTTAGAGGGCGGCCCACGATTCTCTTCACCTGCGCGGACGAGACAGCGGATCGGCTTGCCACGGAAATGTCACGCGTTTGCGTCAGCCTCTCCGGCTCCGCGCTCGACTGAATTAGCGGCCAATGAAACGTTGGAGGGGCTAGGCTTTGTGGGCTTGGCAGCGGTGCAGAAAGGCGCAGGCCGAAAATACAACCGCGCCGAACTTAATAAATAACGCACGGCGCGGTGCCTCTTGCTCGCAATGACTGAACGGGGGATGCGGGAAGGGGCGGGAGGGGGTCACAGATAAGTTAAATTTGCATAATGCGAATTGGCTCGCATTATATATGCTGGACCCTGCCATGGCGATGATGGGAGAATTTCACCGCTTGCCCCAGCCTTCTGCTGGAGATGAGCAGTTGCACGCGTGGCCATCGGGCAATGTGGGCAAAGAGACGCTGTGTATTTTTTGACCATGGTAATTGTGCAACGAAGGGGGTCGAGTTGCTGCCTCGCTTAAACAAAGTTGGTTTTCTGGTTTGGTTTGAGACGTGCATCACCTGTGCATTGCAACATTAACTTTGAGCTAAATCAATAAAAGTCCATTTACAAAGATGCCGTAGTGCCGGCTGCCCACTCCCCCGTCACGTGCCGTGCCAGCCCGGCCTTAATAGGTGCTCGCTAACAGCACTTGCCCCTGACAGCTTGGTGAAGGCTACATGGAGGGGGATCTTTGTCTTTGTTTGTCGCGTGAGCGCTTTGCGTCTGTGCCTTTACAGCGCTGCCGCCGCTGCCCCCGATGAGCGGAGGAGAGTCTGGCGAGGAGCAGACGGAGGCGAATTACTTCAACCTGCCCCCGGCCGTGTCCCTGCCCCCACCGCCCCCCCTCATGGGCATGAGGCTGCCACCACCACCCGCAATGGGCTCCATGCCCCCCGGTAAGGAGCCCCCCACGTGTCTATCGCTCGCTCAGCACGCTTGGGGGTGGGGGGGGAGGCGATCGCGGCCTGGGCGTTGGTGACCGGGTCGGTGGTGTACGAGGACAGCTGACGAAGGAGGCGTTGGGTTGTGCTGTGAATGTGTTGTGTCTGCTGCTATTAGGCCATGTGATCGTGCTAGACTACATAGCGCTTACTAAACAACAGCCAGCATGAGCACTCGACCGCCCAGCACCGGAATCGCAGTATTACCGCGAGAACACCCAGCCCGATCACTCAGGGCCATAGCGTTCTTGGCGCGGGCCCTGGTGCTTCGCGCACCCAATATTCCCTCGGCGTTACCGTCTTGTCCTCTAACAGGTGCTCGCTAACAGCAGTTTTCCTGCCGTCCATGGCACTAAACGGGATCGTTGCCTCTGATATAAACTATGAAAATGCATTGGCTGCGAGGATCCCCTCGTGTGTTCCAGGCATGCCAGATGCCCACATGGTGCACTCACGCCATGGGTTATTTAATTGGCGCTGGGCGAGCTATGAATAGTGCCCATTAGTGGCGCGTCGCATGCCCGGGGGGTCGGTGGTGGTGGTGACGGTGGCGGGCATGAGGACAGGGGGGAGCAGCCCACTTGGTCACCTAAGTGCACCCCCCCCCCACTCCATCTCTCTTACCGGATTCTGATTCCTGCCCGCAGACCCCCCACCCTCCCCCATCGATTCGTCCCAGTTCGTAGACCTCAGTGTAAACACCGAGACGCGTTTGGTTCTTGAGTGAGGGAGACCGCTCATACGGTCGTTGCCCTACGTTGAGCCGCCAGCTGACAGACCGCTGTGGTCCATTCATTACTTTCAATGCAAAGATGCGTCGTTAGTTGTTCTTGTCGTGTTATTTTATTGTTTTGCGTCGAACTAGGACTCGTCCCTTACAGAGTGGGGTCTTCTCCTATAAGCACCTGGCAGTTAACCAGCATTCGTTTAAGTAAACCCAACTCCACCGATGTGACACTGTCGAAAACCGGTCCAGAGCTGTATTCAACTACTCCTGCTTAAAAAATATCTATATGTATGTGGACTCCCAGAAGGCTGTGCAGCCAATGGGATGTCGAAAAAAACTTTTATTACTTTTGATGTGGGGAGACAAACATGGGAAGGAGGCGAAATGGCCTGCTTGTGTTTACTTGGGTTTAAGACGGGAGACCGCTGAGATTCACTCGTGCGGTTGAGACGAGAGACCCGCAGCACTGTTAGTGTCCTCTCTTCTACCCCTTGAGAGACTCTTGACATCTGCCTTCTCTTTGGCAAGGGTCGGGAGGCTTCAATAGAACCAAAGTTGTTAAGCAACATCCATTTTTAAACAATCCTTTAAAAGGTTTCTTATTTTGACACGCCACAATGACCTGCTTCTGCGAGCGGTGAAGCGCGGTGGTTAACGTAACGTAGACTCCTGCCGACTTGCAGGCCTGTGCCATTAGGGATCCCCTCGGCTTAATGAAGGCAGTACTCTTGAGACACGTTGATATGTGTCTAAGTATTCGAAACTAAAACTAAAGTGTGTGTTTTACTCTGTTTTACCAGGTAAGCCCCACTGAGCTATATGCCTCTTTGTTTAGAAGCGACCTGGCCACAAATGAGAGCTCAACGACGAAGTGGCTCATTGTGTGGAAATGTACAGCCGCCAAATACTCTGAATGCATGTTGATTCTAAATGTGAAGAGAAAAACCGGAGGACCCAGGGAAAAATCCACATAACCATTGGGAGATGCAAACTCGAACCCACGACCTCCTGCATATCAGGCGAGGGAGTTAACGTCTCGCCACCACAGCGCTCGAATTTGTTTATACCGGCCCCTTGTGCCGTGCCGGCCTTTAACCAGCGCTCGCATGACAGCTTTGTACAGCGGGTAAGTGAAGAATCTCCGTGTGTGTCCCGTGTGTTCCCAGGGTTCGGCCCTGGCGGATTCCTGCCTCCGATTCCTCCGCCGCTGTTCATGAGGGGCCCCGTGCCCATTCACTATCCCTCGCAGGACCCTCACCGCATGGGGGCCCACACGGGCGGAGGGGGGAAATCCCAGCAGTGACTGTCTCCACAAGATCAGCCGTCGTCGCCGCCTCCAAGATCTGCCCTCACAATATCCCGCCATTCGGCTTTCGGTGTTTGCTCTGGTCGGCAAACTCGTGGAGACCACTCCAATGCCTGTCCCGGCAATCGGCCCTCCCCGCCATCTTGCACACGCTCGCCTGCCCATATTCTCTTGGTGGACATACCTCGTATCTGTGTCTCGGAAATTTGTCCCCCAATGCCAACAACTTCTTCACGATCTGCTTCGTAAGATGTCTCGGCAGCGACGCTGCAATGGAACGTCCAGTCAAAGTCTCCCCATCAGTTGTGCGCAATTTAGTCCTGTTTGCATTTTTAATGCAGTCCGTCAGCTGTTTTCCAAACTACCACTGCAAGTGTGGTTATTGATAAAATAACTTCAAGGGCTGCAAGTTTACTGACCATTCAGCTTATTCCTAACGGCACCGGTGTGTCAATAACTAAGTAAACTCCTGGAAATGGATTATGCATAAAACTGAAGCTGGACTCGATGCACACAACTGGCACTCGTTCAATTTTGGAATAATTTGTGAAAGGTCTGCATCTCTCTTTTGAAGTGGGCGCTGACACAGCAATCGTCTGCATTGGTGGCCTTAAGCCAGTCGTGGATATTCCACATTCCTATGACAGGGCCTGTTTTTTTATTAGGACCGCGGGTTGCTTAACTATTTGGTCATACTTTACCACTGTTGACTTACCACAAAGTGATACATTCTGTTCTCCTCTAACGAGGTGGTTGCGCTCCTGAAGAACACCGTGTTATGGAGAAATCGCATTATAATAAATGATATAGGGGTAAAGCACAGTCCGCGATAACACGTGATATGCGTTTGCAGATGTGTAGCGTCGAGAAGCATCCAGGATTCCTCGCGTGTGTGATGCTACGCCGAGGCAGCCGTACAACCACTTATTTCTACTCGCGCGGCGTAGTTCTGTTCACTCGATCGCGTTATATCCAATTCGCATCCCGCGTTATAAAAAAGTGGTCCCTTAATACATTCATCGCATTAAATCCAATTCACGTGATGTAAACACAATGCCTTATAGGAGACCAGACTGTTCTTATTTTATTCACCCCGCAGAAATGATGCGCCGTGTTGACCCCCGACTGGGCTTTGAACCTGCAGGCTTGATCTTGTGAGTGGAGCTCTCTCACCGCAGCGAGCGTGCGAGTGTATGCACAACCTGTGTTTGGTTGTGGTGAAGCAGCGTTGCACTGCGCTACCACTCCCGCACCACCGTCCCATTGCTCATGCCGCAGCCCTTTTCTCTCCTCCGCTTGCGTTCACCGTTTTGATCGGAGTTGGCTACAGCTGCAGCTGTCTGCTTCGCTGCTTGCGTGGTCTCTGGCCAGTGCTGCTCTGCGGCCCAGGTAAACGTCACGCATGTTGCAGCAGCAGCAGCATCAGCAGCAAGGGGCCCCATGTGACAGCAGGTAGGTCGTCGTTGCTGGGTGGCGTGCGATGGCGGCGGCTCGTGAAAACGCACGCTATATTGTAAAGCAAGTCAAAAAAGAGTTTGTAACGTGTTCGTTTAAACACGTATTTACGAAAATGTCTGGGTGTTTTTTTTATTATTCGAAGCATATGTTCAATAGAGACCTTTACTTTATGCTGGCTTTGTAAGCTTGTGTCGGGATCTTCCAATATTGGGATAAAGCGCCTTAACTTTGTATTTGCGTTTAATGATTTTGTTCCGTTATCAAACCGGGCCACACGCCTGACAACAAGTGCGAGCGTTTTATCCGCACTCCACGACGTTGCTCGCTTGGCTCTGGATTCGTGCCGAGCCGCGCGTGCCAAGATTGTACGTACGGGTGAGCTTGCACGGCACTCGCCGATCTGCAGGGAACGTTGGTTGGCCACGTGGTTCAGGGTGATGCCCATTTCCCATGGAGAGACGCAGAGTCGGCACCACTGATATATCCTGGGTTTAATCCTAGTCGCAGGGCGTGTTCGGTGAAAGCCCGCCCACGAGTTTGTGAAATTCCGAACGTTGGACATGGCTGGGAATCTTACTCTGGTCGCCCCAGTTCATTGTGCAGCGTGCTAACCACCGTTCCACCACGACACCGTAGCCTAATCCTTACCATAACAATAACAATAAACTTGGGTGAAACCAAATACGTCGCTTCTTCTCAATCGGATTTTGTGTTCCCCCATAACCAGATTAAAACTACTAACAGACGTCGCATTCCCGTAGTTTTTTTTGTACGATGTAAGAACAGTTGACTGAATTGTATACGCGTTGGTGGAAAGGCAGTTTGTGCCAATATTTGACGGAAATGGCCAAATCCCGTTGATTTTTCTGTCCATTTGGTCTTTTTTTTATCCTCCAAAATCAATTGGCACAAACGCGTGGTTTTTGCCCACGGTGCGATTCAGGGCGGCCTAGCGTGAGCCAAGCTTGTTATGTGTCACGTTTGATTCAAAACACTTTTTTTTGTTTTTACATTGTCCCGCTCGCTCTGATTTTAGAACCTTACCGCGCGAAGTAGTTTTTTGTAACTGCGTGCGATGTCCCATCATTTTCCAGATTATTTTTCAGGTTCTCTTGGCGTCTTAGTAATAAACGACACCTTTCAAAATAAACGTGTCCTGACGGATCGTGTGCGCCACTTTGTTTACTACGTTTTGGCAGCGTAACACAACGCGGTGACATTTCTCGGCGTGGCACGCCGAGCACCGGTGGTAATGTTGCTCGCAGCCAGGCAAGAAACATTTTCGGGTCAAAACCTAATTTCCTTCCAGCAGAACCCCAACGTGCTTCTCTTGCAGTCAAACTTGCTGCTTCCTCCTATCTCCCAACTCTCAAATGCAAAAGCACATTTGCGCATGTTGCAGCAGCAGCAGCATCAGCAGCAAGGGGCCCCATGTGACAGCAGGTAGGTCGTCGTTGCTGGGTGGCGTGCGATGGCGGCGGCTCGTGAAAACGCACGCTATATTGTAAAGCAAGTCAAAAAAGAGTTGCTCAACTCCTTGAGAAAGGTAAAGTGCATTCTGAAATCCTCAAAGGTAGATGTACGGAACGTTTGGATGATTTATTTTCATTATCATTCGCCGAATACGTGGATCTTATCCTTTTGTAATTGTAGCCTGGTCAGTAAAAATAGATGCTTCACCCCCCCCCCCTGCTGTCAATGCTGTTCAGCTGCTAATAGATTTAAACGACCCCGTTGGCAATGCTGTAAACATACATGTTGTAATTTTTTACAACCAGTTTTCATTCAGAAACGTTTCTTAATATGATAACACTGCACATGTTATTTGTTACTGATGTAATGGTATGTGTGTGTGTGTGGTCAGTGGTAGAGAAACATTTCCTAAACACTGCTTCTTCCCCTGGTGTGGGTTAGCCTCCAAGTCTTCGTTATTCTGTGCAGAACAGCGTATACACTGGACGTGTCATAGAAAGAAGGCTTATGGGGCTAATTCTTCAAGTCGGGGTTAATCACCATTTTTTTATTCCTTTAATTCAGCTCTGTTACCTAGAAAAGCCTCACCGTATTAACTTTATTTCGGGAGCGGTCCTGCCAAGTTTTTGCAGCGTGGCCCTACGATTGCTACATTACCCAATTAAGAAATTTGTGGGTAGCTTTTTTCTTCAAATTATGACCGTTCCGCCGGTCCACACTGGCTTGTGCTTCTTAGAATGACACCGTGGGATCTTTAACGTCCGCCGTGAAGCAGAGAGTGCGCGCGTTTTATAGTTGCACCCGTTGGATATATTCCACGTTGCCACGTTGTGGGCAATCTTAAGACAACCGCTGCTGACTTAGCACCTAATTGAGAGAGATGAATGGAGTTTAAAATAATTAACAAACAAACATTTTGTGTAAGACCCAACCCAAAAGATCACTGGGTCCACCCTAAACCGCATCCTCAAACCATGGCAGATGTCGATACCTGATGCACAAATGGAAAATAAAAATCTCTAGTGTGCGACTGTGGTCATCATATAACATGTAGCGACGCAATGCCCGATCCGCAAATACGAAGGAGACATCACAGCGATGATACTCTGCTGCTCCTGATGGGGTTATCTGGCTTGACCACCCGAATGTGAAATTGTAGTTGTTGCGCTGCATCTACATCAGCCATACGAAAGAAGAACATTGATCCGAGAGAAGTGATGGGCAGTGATAGTAGCTCGCGTCCCACTGAGCAATTCTAACCCAGCGGTGGCCAATACGTGGATCGCTTTCCACGGGTGGACGGCAAAATATTTTGCTGTGGATCTCAGGACAGGTCAAAACAAACGCTAACTTAAGCAGACACAATTTGCGTTAAGACTGATGGCAAATAGAAATCCCCGATAATGCATACATTATAAACTCATTTCTACCAATAGATGGCGTTAGTACGGTATGTCCTTGGTACAGGAAAACCTCGCCAAACGCGGTGTCTCGGCTCCACAGTTTACCTAATGATGTTTTTTTCCGGAACATGGGGGGGGTGGGGGGACGTTTCGGCCATACAGCTCGACGTTGCTAACACTTTTGCTAACATAGTTGTTAGGCCTACGAGAGGTGAGAGTGCTGCATCTGTTGGAAGGTCCTCTGGTGGGAATGAATGGACTGTGAGAACGATTTCTTTACCACGGTGATGCTTTACATGCGGCTCATGGTTCCATGAGCGTCTTCGAGGAAGAGGAATGTCAATAGTCCGAAGGTGATGATTGAAAAAGTGCCCAGAGCAGATTCAAAGGAAAGCAGTCATCCCGGGGGAAACACCCGCGTGTGTGTGGGGGGGGACATTTCGTACAGATGGAACAGGTGGAGTCCACGTTTTTTTAAATCCTTTATATTAAGTTCGCTTGCTTGCGCGCTTACGACCGTGCAAATATTTCGGACTTTTTTTTTAAATCCTTTATATTAAGTTCGCTTGCGCGCTTATGACCATGCAAATTTTCGGTTGTTTTTAACCCACTTCCCGTGATCCAATCGAGCTGACATTTTCCACACAGACTCGTTGTGCGTGACATTTTCGTGAAAATAATGTGCAAAATTTTACACTTTTTAGGAAAAAAAAATTATATTTAATTACCAATTGCTTAATGCTGCCAGGCAATCATCTGACCCATAGGTGGCAGCCATCTCAAGCCAGAGGACGAGAGGACTCTAGCCGCCACGCATATAAAGGATTTATAGTGAAAAACGTTGTTTTTACGGGTTAATTTTTTTGTTCTGCCTGGAAGAGCGAGGGTTATGGCTCCTCTACACCCACGGCAAGGGATATTCACCATATCTGTGTGCGATCCACAACCCTCGCTGCTGCCTCCCACAGCGCTGGATCTTGCAGCGTAGCCACTCCGCCAGCCCGACAGTTTGCGGACGATGCGTTGGGTGTTGAGTGAGGGTGCGTTTACGATTGGGCAGTTCCACAAAACAGGCAAATTCGCAATAAAAATCAAACTCTCCCTCGTTAACTTTGATCATCACACATGTATCAATAGTTCAATTTATTTGCGTGCAATTTTAGTGAGGGACTGCGTTGTCTTGGTGTGGTCTGGGACTGTTTTATTGCTTTGCTGCCTTGGCCAAGATTGCATTTTGTGTTGATAAATCGTCAGGAATTTATGCACTATGCAATTTCCACTTATATATTTTATGTATGTATTATTTAGCGACTTGCTTAGCTTCCCTATACTTTGCACTCCTGTTGGTTTTTGTATCGCTCGTCGTTGTAACTTTCTGACCCGAACCCTTCAGGACATCACTGAAAATTACCTTTGAAGGTCATCGGATCCTTCCAGTCCCAAGTCGTGATTCTGATTCTGACGTTCGGGATGCCAATTTGAAGGTGATTATCTCTAGAATTCAGAAGGGGGTGTGAGCCGCTTGTGAAATCCGGCGACAGTTTGACGTGCACACGGGGCTGAATGCAGTCGTCACCTGCCCCAGCGCGGATGAAAAAGTCGGCTCCATCCGAGTAACCTCCTGACACTAGCGCGGTGTTTTAATGATTTCTGTCTAACTTGGTGTGATAAACTGACGAAGGAGAAAAAAAGACACTTGATTATTCTTATGACCCACACGTCTGAAAGCACGTAACTGCGCCACACGGTAAACCGGACACTGCAGCCTGAGCCGCACGTGATGACCTGGCCAGCACCTGTGCGTGGGTGAGGCGTGAGTGATGGGTAACCCGGCACGAATAGCCGGACAAACGGGGGCCCGTGGGGTGGGCAATGGACTTCGGACGCCACCACGCTCCCGCAAACTCAGGCTGATCGTTGTTCTCAAGGGAAAACGAGTGTGTATGTTGAACTTATTTCGCACCGTAGGTAATGGACCGTGCTAATCGGAGGTGTGGAAGCCGGTGATATATCTTCTACCTGTCAAAGCAAGTTGCTTAGACCCGGACATTGCATTTATTTTTCTTCCCTCTTCTTCCCCCAGCCTTATAAATACGCCGCACATGATCGTCACCCCCGCGGTGTCGGGGTGGCGGATCCAACCTTCCCCTGTAGGTCTCAAACGAGAAAGTGATGCCTTGGTTCACTGCGCGTTTGGCCCTCGTGGATACCTCCCGAAGGATCGTTACGTATGAGCCCTGGGTGTCCGAGAGGCCCTTCCTACTGCCCAATGGCCCCTATGCCTTTAACTCGCTCCGGCACCAGCTGCTGTCGCTGCTAATTACGGTGCAGATCTGCGCGCTGCTGATTGCGCCCGGCGTCACCGCTGTTCCGGTTTGATCTGCTCCCGAGTTTTGCCGGCGTTATAGCCAACTCGGTTTGAATTAACCGGGTGACACCGAGACACGCGGTGACCTCCTGCGAATGATGTCACGGGATTCTTTCACCTTTTTTAACCTGCGCCTTGCAGCGGGGCGGCACGCTGCGGTTAATGTCCCCGCAGAAAGTGGCCGGCGGCTGTGGCCGGAATTGAACTGTCGCCTCGACGACAACGAGGTCGGTGCCGAGCGGGTGACTTCTTGCCTGACCTCTTGCCTCACCCAGGGCCATCTGTGCTCGTCGCGCTGCAAGGACGGGTCCCCGTGTCGTAATCGCCGCGTGAATTTTTAGCTCCGTGGCGCGGGAATACTTTCCGTCTTTTCACATCTCCCACTGTCGCCACCTCTGCCGCTGTCCGCCTCGCCTCGTTCAATCATTCGCGCAACCACGGCTGCTGTCGTTGTGCAAAACCGCTGTGGCTACTCTTGCTCGTGCTTTCCAAGTGAGGTCATAGGCTTTGCTTTGCTGCGTTTGTTCTGTCCGTCTGTAATGTAGGGGGTGGGGGTTGCAGATGATAAATCTTGTAAAGATGATTCAATGTGAGTTGAACTTGAGTCTAACGTTGTGTTTGCTATAAGGGACTCCTCATGATGGGAAAGCTGGCCACGTTGTGTCAAAAGGTTCCCCAAAATATGTCGAGGCGAAAGCAAAGAGGCACCACTGTAATTACTTTTCTTTTGCCATGACGGCGTCCTGCCAGTTTCCGTGCCTCTTAATGAAATGCCTCCACTCACGGACGAACACACGTCGGAAAGCGTTCCGTAATCCGTGCGTGTGCGTGCGCACGACCATCCTGAGCTTGTTGCTTCTCCAATTAAACTAAAACGAAACTTTTATATTTTTTATTTTACCAGGTGAGGCCGACTGAACTATGCAGCTCTTTTACAGAAGCGACCTGCCTAAAACTCAACAAAGTGGCTTATCGTGTGGAAATGTATAGCAGCCAAATTACTCCAAACGCATGTTGTTTCTAAATGTGGAGGGGAAAACCGGAGGACCCTGGGAAAAATCCACACGACCACAGGGACGTGCAAACTCCAAATATACAGAAGGTGTCAGGGTCGGGATCGATCCCACGACCTCTTGTGTACCAGGCGAGGTAGTTAACATCTCCTAGCCACCATGGCGCCCAATTAGTTGTAATTAATTGCAACGAACTGCTCCTGCTGCTCGTCCACGCTCGGTTGCGACCGACGGTGGCAAGGGAATGGGCTCTGCGCATCCCTCGGCTCGTTGCACGGACGGATGGCGGACAGGTGTTCGCCGTTTGCGTTTTGGCCTTTGTGCACGGATGGACAGCGGCACGTACGCCGTTAAATTGGGGGCCCACCGGAGCCGTCCGGCCGGGGGGGGAGGGGGGGGCTTTGTCTAAGTTTTTTTTTAAACAGCATCGCGATTCCACGCAAGGAATTTGAAGCGCGCGCGTTTAATTATAGAAAGTGCCGCTGCGCGGCCGTTTAAAGCACTCCTCCGTGGGCCCTGACACGATACCGGACGGGCCGCGTCCGACTCCACTCGTAAATGAAAGGCGCCTCGTGATAGCGGCGTGTTTTTTTTTATTGTGACCGGCCGGTTGTGTGGTCACGCTGAGAGGCGGCCTAATCTGAGCGTTTCGAACGGTACCGTCGCACGGGCGATTGTGGCCCGCGGCGTCTATATTTTTATTTCCCCGTTACGCCACCTGCATTACGAGTGGCCGTTTTGTTTTTGCCGCTGGTTGGGGGAAGGGGGGGGTCGTTACTTTTTTGCCGGGAGAGGAATTGCTCCGTCGCAAACGTTGTTGGAAATGTCCGTCCGTGGTTGTTGCTGCCTTGGGCAGGCGATGTTTTGTTGCCTGAACAAATTGAGAGCCGCGTGAGCAATCCTGAGGAAAAAGCGAGGCACTGTAATTCTACAAACGTAGCTTTTACATTGTTATTTTGAGATTTTGTTATATTTTCTGCACAAAACACTAGACAGGACTGAAGCCATCTCGGCTGAAAGACACAGCGCGACAGACAGAGACCGCTGCCAGGCCGAACCGGTGAAGCTAACAAAGGCCCAAAAGGCCTAGAAGGTCAAGTGGGACAGAACTTGTGTGGAGGGCCTCGATTTTGAATAAAAACCCTCTGAGGAAATCTGTGAACAGAGGAAAGATGAGATGTGTCGGTGCACACTAGCAACATTTCCACCTTCCAACTTAAAACAGGAAACCCACCGTGATTGGCTCAGCAGCCTTTTGTGATGTCACGTGCTCCGTGTGTGACTTCAGAGGCCATCAGCTCGAAGCCATCCATGGCGGTGGGGAACGTGTTTTTGTATTTACCACTTGCTGTGGGGGAAATAACTACTTCTGTTTCAATTCATACATTCATGCCTTCTGTAAATGTAAATGTGTGTTTTGTAAGTAAGATAATGGAATTTAATTGCATTATTGAGACAGCTTGGCTGAGTCTTAAGACGCAGGAGTGTCCTGCATGTTGATGTCCGGCGAGATCTGTAATTGAGTGGCATGTGGGAGTTAGCCGGAGTAGCCGGGGAAAGCCTCTGCATATGAGGTAGTCAACACTCAATGCTCTGCTCAGATGGATTCACCAATCCCATTCCCTACTGCCATCCCTTGGCCTCGGCGCATTCTACCACGATTTGATGTTTGCAAATCACATTCTTTTTTTGTTTTCAGATGTGAGTGTTTATTTATATACATACTCTGTATTTATGTCAACATGTGGCCCTAGGGGTGAATTTGAAGCGTGGCTACTGTCGTCACGAAGAACTTCCAGAAACGTCAATGCGAGGCCCTGTATGCATGTTTATATGTTGAACTTCTTTTTCACCATACGTAGCCAACTGTGCTAATCGGAGGTTTTGGGAGCTTCCTCCGCGGAGTAGAAACTGGGGTGAATCACGCCCGCCCATCGGCAACGTCCACCGGGCAGCGGCCGGCTACTCGTGGCCACGGCGAGCGGTCCCCGTGGGCACGAGCGGTGGCACAAGCGGCGGCACTCGAACACCCCTTCTCATCATCGTCGGAGGCCAGCAGCTCGATTCACAACATGAACGTCGCTTTAGAGTGGCCACTCCATTCGCTTCACAGATGATCGCGCTCGACGACGTGGAACGGCCTATCCAGCAGGAGGCCGGTGGTCCTGGGGCGGTGGCGGCGGCGGCGATGGTGGCTACGGTGGTTATTGTGAATATATCATCTTACATATTCTCGGGGCGATGGATCGCGACATCTGGAGGAACATTCAAAACGGCGGCCCATACAAGAGACAGGGAGAGAGGAAGGGGGAAAGAGCGAGGGATAGAGAAAGGGAGAGCAAGGAGAGAGAGCGGGAGAGAGAGGGGAAAGCGTCGCTCGTTCAGCTTCCAGCGGTGCAACAGCCTCACAGGGATCCGTGCGGCGCATAAATGCGCGTTCACGTACCTGTGTGTGCGTGCGTGTTTGTGAACGCGTGCGTGCGTGACCCGATTTTGTTCAACACGGTTTTAATAACGCACGATCACCCGCGGTACAGACGCTCGCAGATACAACCCGCGGCACGCTCGGCTGATACGGCGGCTCTCGTTAGTTAACCCGATTACATTTCTACAAGCTGCTTAAATAAGTTACGATTAATTGTCTGACACTCAATTACTCGTTGGAATCTGTATTCATCGGATCTCGTTAAAGCAGAAGGAGAGATCTTATTAAGGCCTGCTTACTGGGACTGCGGAGTTGCGAGGCCGGTGAAGGTGTCGCTTGCTCTGGCTTCTCAGGGTTTTTGTGAGCGTCATGAGTAATTAATTTAATTAGCGCTGCTATTTCGTTTTGGGTTTTTAAATCTAATCACCGATTGCGATCGATGTCGAATCACGCGGCCATCATGACAATCATCACGAGCCTCATCGTGCAAAAATACAATGAATAAAATAAAATGAGCAGACAATTCGCCTCCTTCCCATATACATCCCTTGATGTAAAACAACATATATAAAGTATTTTTTTCCAAATCTCATCAGGTTCAAGGAAGCTTTGCTCTGCCGATGAGACTGCGTGTCAAAACCGGTCCAGAGTTTTGCTTACGCTAAACCAATGCTGCTGACAATGATGCACTCCCAGAGGGCCGTGCGGCTGATTGGATATGAAAAAAAGGTGTTTTTTTTATGTGGAGGGACAGATGTGTGGGGAAGGAGGCGTTATCGCCCGTTTTCTGACTTCGCCTCTCAATGACGGGACTCTCTCGATCAGCAGAGAGCCCCGCAGGGTCGGGCACGAGCCCAGACCCGTGAGAGGTGGCGGCGGCCGGGGGGGGGGGGGGAGGCCTTCACGGTTGGATCGACTGGCCGGTTGACGACTGTGAGACCATGACGATGACGACGTCGTCGTCGCTCTCGCTCGCCGACCCTACAGGTCCTCGGACTCGGAGCCGTCTCCGAAGGGGGCGAGCTCCAGGTTGATGCCCAGGCTGAGCTCCCCGCTGGGCCCGCTCCAGCCCTGCGGCGTGCGGTTGAAGGTGGGCCGCGCCGTGAGCCCGTCGGACCCGAGGAAGCCCCCGTCGGAGGACGGCTCCAGGGGCGGCAGCTCCAGCTTGGGCATGTGGAACACGGTGACTTGTGATGCGTTCTCAAAGCCGCCGTACGGCGTGGCCAGCCTGCGTCGCCACGGAGACCGCGCGTCCACCGGACGACGGGAGAAGAGAGACGGTCGGTCGGGGTACACGAGGGGGGCAAAGACGACGGAGGGGTTCCCTCCGGTGCGATTGCACCGCCCGCGCACTCAATGGCCATCCCGTTACCTGTTGAAGCTCTTAAAGCTCGCCTTGTCGGCTGCCGGCCCCGGCTGTGCCATGCTGGGATGGACGGAGGCGAGCAGCTCGGGGTCGTCGCCGATGGCCTGCTCCCAGGGCGAGCGGTAGATGCGCGGCATGGCCGTGATGTTGAACGGCTCCGGCTGCTGCCCGGGCGCCGCGTGGCCTGGGGCACGCGGGAGGAGGAGGCGACGGAGTGAGTGGCGCGGAGCCCGAACCGTCAGGTGCGGTCGAGGGCGCGTTAGCCGCTTGGGGCGCTACGGTAGCGAGATGTAAACTACCTTACCTGGTATACAGGAGGTTGTGAGTTCGATTCTGATCCTGATGCATGTTGGATATTTGGAGTTTGCGTGTCTCTCTCACCGTGGCAACGTGGATTTTTATCCAGGTTTTTTCCCTCTACATTTAGAATAAGCTTCACGCATTTAGAGTATTTGACTGCTATACATTTCTACGTGATGATAAGCTACTTCTTCTTGGTTCTTTCGGTAAAGTCACGTAGAAGGGAAATAATAAAATAATACTAATAAAACATAATAAAATAATTCTCACGACGTTTCGGCCACAACGCAAGCAGCCGTCCTCAGGTGAAGAACATGTCTGTCGGAAAGACAGCGTTTGAATGAAACACCACCAGCTTGGAGCGTATATTTAAGCTGGGTTGGAGGGGGAAGAGCGCCTTGACAAAAGAATTTGCATATAAATAGGAATTTAGCATATTTATGGGAAATGCAGATATGGGATTAGTCATTACTTGTGGAATGCGTAGGAGGTGGGCGGGGGGTTTCAAAGTCATAATATGCCCGTGCATTATGCAGGATTAGCAGCATCAAAGGGAGGGAGTAGGGTTAGCATTAATAAAGGGAAGGAATGTTAATAGTATGGAGCTGCAGCAACTAATATGCTTATAGACTATACATTTTAATATTACACTATGTATTATTCTACCCACCCTACTGTATACCACACTGCTGTATAGTCAATATACAATTACGATCAGTGGCGGCTCCTGCAAAATCTCTCAGGGGGGGCAAATGTCTGGATGATTGATAAGGATAAGGTCCACCCATGCAATGAATAAATTAACAGCTTAAGCATGTAAAGGCAACTTCACTTCTTTAATATTAATGAAAAATAAAGTGACTCTTACAATACATCTTGTTTGTTTATATACTCACTATTAAAACAAACCACTCAAGTTTATTTTATTAAAGATTCCACTAGGTAGCGATAAATTATATTGTTGGATGAAACGTGCTTACGTATGATGACGTTAGCACGTATGATGACGTAAGCACGTATGATGACGTAAGCACGTATGATGACGTAAGCACGTTAGGGCGAGCCCTTCCGGAAGCCATAGATAATGCATTGGAGCGCCCCCGTTCGAAAAAAAACATCTTTCAATGTAAGTCTATGGGACCACTCGGGGCGATTCTCAGCCGGAGTGAAATCGCCCCAAAGGAGGCGGTACTCCACAGAACGTGACATGACGCTGATTGGACTATATCCAGAGGCTGCAGTGACGGCTAGCGTGACTCTGTGGTTGAATGACATTGGTGGTGCGTCGCCCAATCGCCCTAATGAAGAAACCGCCCCTGATTACGATACTATATATTACCTTATACATTGTATTAAACATTACACTTTTATACTATTTATTATTATACAATCTGCTATAAACTATACCATTGACCGTCGCGTGAAAGGTACTAAGAGGAAGCAACGAAATATGTCAATGGGAGAGTGGTGATAGGAGACTTGCAGCGGAGCAAAGAATCCATTCTCTGCGGAGAATAAAAGATATATAGTCAATGCCAGTGAGTGGACTGCGGTCTGAAAGTCACCGTAAACGGGAACACAATCAGTTAAGATCCGAAATGGTTTATTACGTCCTTCCAATGATTGTTGAGCCAGAATCCATCTTCTCGGTTGAAATTGTCTCTGTGTTTGTATATGTGGATCGCCTCATGAACGAATCTCTCATGGTAAACAGATGGCTTGCAGAGAACCTCTGTCTTGGAGAAGTCAATATCATGTGAGCCCACTGAATTGTAACAGTGATCTGCCACGGCTGAGGTGTTTGTCCTACCGTGTTTCAGGTCTGCTTTATGTTCACAGATGCGGTCCGAGACATGTCGTTTGGTTTCTCCAATGTAACTGCTACCACAGAGGCAACTTAGTTTAGAGACGCCAGGGTACTGTATGTCTGGAACCACATCTTTTACAGACGGGACCAGATCACGGATTTTGTGTACTGTGTTGAATCGGACCTGGATCTTGTGTTTAATCAGGATTTTGGAGATCTTTTTTGTGACCCCAGCAATGTAGGGTAAGGTGATGGTTTTGTAAGGCTCCTCAACAGGATCCTTCTTGATGGTTGGAGTGATGGCTTTGAGGATTGTGTAGTCGGAGTAACCATTAGCCTTAAGAGTTTGGCTTACGTGCTTGAGTTCACTGGCAATGTGTTCCTGGTCAGAGATGCATTGGGCTCTATGGTGTAGAGTCTTGATGAGGGAATTCTTCTGGGATGGATGGTGGTGGGAATCCGGTTTTAGGTAAGCATCCGTATGGGTGGCTTTCCTGTAGACAGAGTGGCTCATTGAACCATCAGGTCTCCTTTTAATTAAGACATCCAAAAGGGTAGCTTGCCATCTTTTTCGACTTCCATGGTGAATCTGATGGCTGGGTGTATGGAATTGATGTGGTCGAGGAATTGGTCTAGAGCAGGCCGGCCATGTGGCCAGATGACAAAAGTGTCATCTACGTACCTCTTCCATAAGGTCGGGCGTAGAGTGGCAGTCTGGATGGCGTCAGTCTCAAATTTCTGCATGAAAACGTTGGCTACAACCGGAAATAGGGGGGAGCCCATTGGGGTGCCCTCAGTTTGTTTGTAGAAAATTCCATTCCAGGTGAAGTATGTATTGATTAAGCAGTGTCTCACCAGGAGGGGTAACCCAGTATTCAGTCCTTGATGAACCAAGTCTTCAATAATTGCGATGGTGTCAGGTACAGGAACTTTGGTGAATAAGGAAACCACATCAAAACGGACCGAATCCGTGAACATAAAGCAGACCTGAAACACGGTAGGACGAACACCTCAGCCGTGGCAGATCACTGTTACAATTCAGTGGATTCACATGACATTGACTTCTCCAAGACAGAGGTTCTCTGCAAGCCATCTGACTACCATGAGAGATTCGTTCATGAGGCGATCCACATGTACAAACACAGATACAATTTCAACCGAGAAGATGGATTCTGGCTCAGCAATCATTGGAAGGACGTAATAAACCATTTCGGATCTTAACTGATTGTGTTCCCGTTTACGGTGACTTTCAGACCGCAGTCCACTCACTGGCATTGACTATATATCTTTTATTCTCCGCAGAGAATGGATTCTTTGCTCCGCTGCAAGTCTCCTATCACCACTCTCCCATTGACATATTTCGTTGCTTCCTCTTAGTACCTTTCACGCGACGGTCAATGGTATAGTTTATAGCAGATTGTATAATAATAAATAGTATAAAAGTGTAATGTTTAATACAATGTATAAGGTAATATATAGTATCGTAATTGTATAGTGAATATACAGCAGTGTGGTATACAGTAGGGTGGGTAGAATAATACATAGTGTAATATTACAATGTATAGTCTATAAGCATATTAGTTGCTGCAGCTCCATACTATTAACATTCCTTCCCTTTATTAATGCTAACACTACTCCCTCCCTTTGATGCTGCTAATCCTGCATAATGCACGGGCATATTAGGACTTTGAAACCCCCCGCCCTCCACCTACGCATTCCACAAGTAATGACTAATCCCATATCTACATTTCCCATAAATATGCTAAATTCCTCTTGATATGCAAATTATTTATCAAGGCGATCTTCCCCCTCCAACCCAGCTTAAATATACGCTCCAAGCCTGGTGGTCTTTCATTCAGACGCTGTCTTTCCGACAGACATGTTCTTCACCTGAGGACGGCTGCTTGCGTTGTGGCCGAAACGTCGTGATAATTATTTTATAATGTTTATGTTTATTATTTTATTATTTCCCTTCTATGTGACTTTACCGAAAGAATCAAGAAGATGAATCCCTGCAGTCACGAAAGCTTTAAATCGATAAGCTACTTGGTTGAGCTATCATTTGTGGCCGGATCGCTTCTGAAAATGAGCTACATAGCTCAGTGGGCCTTACCTGGTAAAATACAAAAAATAGTTTAGTTTTAGCTTGTTGCAGACATTCGCGGTTGGAATCTGATGGGCCACCCTGGATGTCACTGTGCTGTCTGTGCATTCACCGCCAAATGCTATGCGCCGCTTCACTCACAGTGGACGTTAGAGATCCCGTGACATCATTCGCTATTGCATATTGTGCGCTGGCGTCACGGTCCATAGTTGCTAAGATTTGTGTTACCCAATTGGGATCGCGCATGGCAACATCGCCCCTACCGCAGACGACGCCTGTGAACCGCAGCAGCAGCGCCTGCCCGTCGCTGTGAGAGCCACGGCGCGAATACTGAATGCGCGCTCCGTTATCCCTCGCGCACACTTGACCGCTCGGTGACGTTGGCCGTTTATAACAACGTCGATGTGACCTTGCATGCGACCTCAACGACCCCAGCCCTGGCCCCGACCTCGCCCGCCCGCCCACTCAGCCGACAGACGCTGGGGCCCGGAGCTCCATCACGGCCTCGGTCATCAGCGTCGTGCTCACGGCTAAATGCAAGGCCGACTGTCAAATGCCAAGTTCCGTGACGGCGTCTCCTCGGTCACTGGAGGACGGGGGCAGAGATCCCGAGATCGTCTCCTGTGACGGCCTCGAGGCGGTGATTCGTTCAGGCGATTTGAGGGCAATAAGTTGCGGCAACGTTGCCTATTCTGAAACGTTTACCTCCCCAATTCTAGATACATTTGACCGGGGGAAGAGGTCACGTGACTACCTGAGGATGTGTATGTACGTTGAACTTCTTCCGTACCGACAATTAGCGTGGTTGGCTACATATGCTGCAAAAGAAGTTCAACATACATACATTCATGCACTGTACGTAGCCAACCATGCTAATTCGTGCTGCTCTGTAGATCAATCACATGGTGGGGGTGAGAGTTTAAGATTGGTTCCTTGAAGGATGCGTCAAATGGGTGGCAAAGGGAAAACCCAAAGCCAGACGGTGGTGATAGAGGTGGTGATGGTGGTGGCGGTGGTGGTGGTAGTGGTGGTGGTAGCAGCGTTGCCGTTGGTGACAGTCGTGGCGGTGGTGGTGACAATGATGGTGGCATTGGTGGTAGCAGTGGTGGCGGAGGTTCAGAGAGCCGTGAGGCGCTGCAAGGATGGGTGGTGGTCGCGGGTTTCTGAGGAGATGGAGTCTGCCTCAATGGCCCGCGATCACAAATCGCTCTTTAACTCCATAAAAAAGTTACTTGCAGCGCCACACCTATTACCATCATTAGGGGAAAGAACGGTGATCCAATATCCGACCCCCAGGAACTGGTTTGCGGATTTGCTGAGCATTTCTGAGGTCCTTGGGGAGGGGAAATCCCTCAGCCTAGAAAACATCGTGGGGATGACCCTGCTGAGGCTGCGGAGCCTCAAATATTGGAAGAAATCGCCCCCTGTGAGTAGCTGGCTGACGTGCCATCTGTTGAGTAAGTACGATCCAGATTCTGAGACCAGGAAAGGCACCGGGCAAAGATGATCTCCCAAGCAAAATGCTGAGGGAGGGTGGCGTTTGTGCACAGACTGCCCTACATGACATCATAACAACAGTCTGGACCACTGGACGGGTTCCGCAGGATTGGAAGGATTCCCTGGTGGTCGCCCTCTTTAAGAAGGGGTCCACACAGACTGTAACAACTACAGGGGTATCTCACTCCTCGGTGTGCCGGGAAAGGTCCTGGCAAGGATTATTCAACATCGCCTTGCTAGGCACGCTGGGGAGAGGCTTGCGGAGTCCAATGCGGTTTCAGGAAAGGGCGGTCCTGCATACATGCCATATTTTCTGTCCGCCTGCTACAGCAGAGGTGTCGGCCCGGGCTCTGGGTTGTTCTTCGTGCTTTCGGAGTCCCTCACCCTCTGCTCACGATCATTAAGGACCTTCATGATGGTGAGCGGGCCCGGGTAAAACTACGTGGCCGGGAGTTGGAGCCATTCCCTGTTCACCTTGGGGTGCGACAGGGATGTCCTCTGGCTCCCACATTATTTAACATCTATTTCGACCACGTAGTTCGTGAAGCCTTCGATGGCTGTACCGGAGGAATTTCCATCTGGTACAGATACAATGGGAGGCTGATCGATGCCCGGGTGCGGTCAAGGGATGGCTCCCTATTGGTCAACCATGTTATGTATGTGGAAGATCTGGTAATTACTGCTGACTCAGAGGAGGAGTTGGAGGAGTTGGAGGAGCTGCTGCTGAACCTGGAGCGTGCCACTTAGAGGTGGGGCCTTACCATCAGCCCCACCAAAACTAAGCACCTGCCCGGGTATTTTGTACCATCGGACATTCCACCCCCACAACTCCCAATTGGTGATGGGTCAGTTGTGGAGAGAGTGGAGAGTTTCCCATACCTGGGCATTGTGCTAATGACCGGCTCCAGTATTACAGCAGAGTCCTTACTCCGAATCAGTCGAGCGGCATTATCTTTTCATCGGTTGCGTGACGCTGTGTGGAAGCTACCTGGTCTGTCGCACCGCACGAAGGTTCAGGTCTTCTCGGCCACAGTCATTCCCTTCCTTCTCTAGGCTTGCCAAACGTGGACCCCCTAATGGAACATCTTTGCTGGTTATAACATATTTAGGCTGGCCTGCCTTCGATTTATCCTGGGTTTAATCAGGTAGGATTATGTGAGGAGCTCACAAGTCCTTTAAAGATCTGGACAAAGTCTCATCGGTGAGCTCCTCCGGCAGGCAATGCTCCGTTGGCTGGGTCATGTAGCCCGCATGCCCAGCCACCGCTTGCCTAAACAGCTTTTGTTCGGCCAGATAGAGGGGGCTAAACGGGCGTGGCACGGGCTAGAGAGGAGATGGAGTGATGTGGTACAGGAGGATGTGGAGCTGAGTGGACTTGCCGATGACTGGTACCAGCGGTGTCAAGATCGGCCTCTGTGGAGGAGGCTCGTGAAGGACGCTACTGGACAGTTGGAGGCAGTCGCCCTCCAACAACAACGGAGGGCGGAGGAGCGGTGCTCACAACAACAAGCGGAGCGCCGGGTGGCGAAAGCACAGCAAGTTGGCACAGTCGGGGGCACAGGTGGTGCATCAGCCAGTCATCTCGGTCAGTCGACCCGTGGCAACTGGGTCTGTTCCTTGACCTCCTGCCAGCAGGCGTTCGACACTTCACGTGGCCTCAACATGCACATCGCCTGGCACAAGCGTCGTGGTGACGTCACCGCCACTTAGTGGCGATTGGCGGTTGTTGTGACGGTGCTGGCAGTGGTAGTGACTGTGGTGATGGTGGCAGTGGTAGCAGCGGTGGTGGTGGCGGTGTAACACCAAGCCCAGCTGGTCGGTTGTCGACTGCGCCCCTTCTATGGGAATCCCGTGGAACGGAGGAAGCGAGGCCGACGCTTCCTCTCCGAGCCTCACCTTACTCTCCGAGCCTCACCTGGGGCGAGGGCGTCCGGGTCGGTGCCGTCCTGGTTGCTCACGGTGCCTCCATCTGTGCCCCCGTTCACGTGGCCCGGGCCCAGCGGCTCTCCCGCCACCAGCTCTCCGTCCTGGCCGTCCACGCAGGCCTGCACGCGGCACGGACGCGGGGGGCGGCACGGCGTAACCACGGCCGCTCTCTCTCACGCCGTGTCCATGAAGCGGGTGGAGGACATCGCCTGTTTATTTTAAACTACATTTTTTTTTCATTTTACCGGGTAAGATCCACTGAGCTATGTAACTCTTTTTCAGAAAGGACCTGGCCACAAATGATCGCCCAACGAAGCGGCTTACGATGTGGAAATATATAGCAGCCAAATACTCTAAACGGAGGACACGAAGAGGGACACGCAAACTACCAAATATACAGCAGGCGTCAGGGTCGGGATCGAACCCACGACCTCTTGCATACCAGGCGAGGCAGTTAACATCTCCTAGCCACCGCTGCACCCAGAGTCGCTCGCAACCGGAGGGGTTTGTGGGTTTTCGCAACGGTTGTCCCTTTGGGCGCGAACCAGCCACATTGTTCCATGGAAGGGGAATCTTCACCGCCGGCTCTGCAGGGCTGTGAGCGGGGGATAAGCGCGGGATGCTTCAACGCTCATCCGAGGTGGGAAATCGCTTTGAAGGAATTGGCCAAACGTCCCAAGCATTGTCCTGCTGAAGGTGAGCATCGAGACTCGGCGACGCTTTCCTGGGTAAATAAAGGCTTGAATGTGCAGACAACATAATCGTTAATATTATATCATCCTACATTCTACACCAACTTAGGTCAGCCGATTGGTTCAGCGGTAGAGCGAGCGGCTCGCAGTGGGAAAGGTGGCGAAGTCCTGGTTGGGGGTTGACTCGGCACGTCACCCCTCCGCGGCGGTCGATAAAATCGGTACCATTTTTACAGGGAAGTCAAACGGCGGTTGCCCTGTGGTCGACCCACCCTAATGATGGGAGCGTGGAATTACCACCACTGGCTCTGCAGGGCTGTCGACTGGAGATGGAACACCGATGACTCTGACGCTCTCAATCGAGCCTGGAACTCACTCCGAGTGGCTCCCCATCGCAGGCGTCGCTGTGCTGGAATTTACGCGCGTGATTCGCACAGCGTCACTCACTTATATATCACGGTAGCCTCCTGGTTATAACTCTCTGTGATTGAACAAGTCCCTCTTACTGAGTCGATGGGCCTACTCTTCCACGCCGGGCCGGCTGTCTCCGAAGACTCGGAGGGTGGGAGCCCCCTTACGTCCCCACGCTTTACCCAACGCTCCGATCGGCTACTCCCTGTGGGCTACACTCGTGTGCCACTCGGCTCCCGCTGGGGCGAGCTGCTCTTGTGCCCACCTCGCTGGCGATCGTCTCGTAGGTGAACTTCTCCACCCTCCTCTGCCTCCGCTGGAACATCTGCGAGCCCCTGTTGGAGTGCAGCGACAGCTCCTCCAGCATGATCTCCTTGGGCACGCTGATCTTCTTGCCCAGGTCCTCATCTGCGTCTAGAGACGGAGATGTCAGAATATCAAAATCAGAATATTTATTTATACTGGAGGAGGAATCCAATGATCTGTAAAGATCTTTTTTTTTTACAGATTTCCAAGTCGGGGAGGGTCAGAACGTTACAACACAGGAGTGCAAAGTATAGGAAAGGTAAACAAATCACTTCCATATATATCAATAAAACTAAACAATGTTGTATCTTACCAGGTGACGCACACTGAGCCATTAGCTTCTTATTCAGAAGCGACCTGGCCACAGATTGGCTTATCGTCACGTGGACATTTATAGCAGCCCAATTTCTCTACAAATGTGTAGGGAAAAACCGGAGGACCTGGAGAAAAATCCACGTGACCACGGGGAGAGAGACACGCAAACTACAAATACACAGCAGGCGTCAGGGTTAGGATCGAACCCCTGGCCTGCTGCGTACCGTGTAGCGCCCTTGATCAGGATCCATGTGAGAAATCCAGGAGGGAGGGGGCCACGGAGGGTGGGAGTCACGGAGGGAGAGGGCCACGGAGGGTGGGAGTCACGGAGGGAGGGGGACACGGAGGGAGGGAAGGGGACACGGAGGGAGGGAGGGGATACCGGGGGAAGGGGGTCACGGAGGGAGAGGTCCCCATCACATCCGCATTGGTGATGCCACGGTGGTGGTGGTTCGACTGGGCCGCGTTTGGAAACACGGAGGCGAAAGGGCGTCACGTTACAAACCCCGATGTGGCTGCAGCAGCTGTTGTGGATTCATCATCGATATCGTCATCCGTCCCTTCGCATAGCGCGGGCACTGCGCAAAGTCGCGGGAGTGGTGAGTCATTGCCGCACACCACGACCTCTGTCTGCAGGCCACTCGAGTGAGTTGAGGAGCGGCGTTTGACGAAACCCGTGGTCAGTGTTTTTAATTGGGCCGTGTTGCATCAATGTCACCACGGCCTCTCTCCGCTGACTCTGGTTGCCCATCGAGTCACCTTGCGTCCCCTTCCTCGTATAATTAAAATATATATAATGTAGGCAAATTCTCATTCTTCACTGAGACTTAGTTCGCATCTTAAATAAATTATTGTTGCAGTTAGTCTGCGGTTAAATGTGTTTTGTTTTCTTTAAAATATTCTGTGCATTTTAAATTGACTCGAATGAACCCAGGTGTATGTATGTTGACCTTTCGCACCGTACGGAGCCAACCGTGGTAATCGGAGGTGCGGGGGAAGGACAACAAACTAAACACGAAAAAAAGCAGTTCTTAACAAATGGGTTTTCAATTTAGACGATGATTTAAAAGTGCATAGTTCCTAATATCGGAAGAGAGAGCGTTCCAGACGGCCGCAAGGAGCGCATCTAAAAGCGCGCGATGCGGTGACCGTCTCTGTTCGACGCTCCGAGAGTCGGAGCCGCTGCGCCCTCTGCCCAGGCGATTATCGCTGTCTCGAGGCGCGTGAATTCTCTTCTCTGCGACGCGAGTTCCACACCACACGCTGGGCAGGCTGCTGTGTCTCACCGAGAGCGTAGCTCATCCGCCGTTTCAATATCGCAGCGGCATGAATGTTCACGCTCCGGATATTGATGCCCCCAATAAGGCGAGGATGAAGGCCGCTGTTCTTATTATGCGGTCACAGTGCACAGTGCGATCCAATCGAGCGGTGAAAGTGCTCGAGTGGTCTCGATGCGGTTTCATCGTTAACGTTGGCTGAGAGGCATCCGCAATAACAGCCTAAACGGAATTATGACCATAATACTTACATGCGCATGTGAGGTCTATTTTTCAGCAATGTTTTTATGTTGTTGTTCCGTGTAAAAATGGCCTATGGGTTCAGTCGAACGCTTCGTGGGCTCCGCACCGCAGTTCACTGGGTTCACGTGACAAATCGCTGCAATATGCACGCGTGGTCGTATCGCCATCTCTCACAGTAAAGTTCATCGTGCCTGTCAGGGTGGTAATGTGGCCCAGAGTGACGTGGCCGAGAGCAGAGGGTCGGCCAAACTTTCAAAGAAGGAGGAGGAGGACCAGGCCAGGGGTTGAACCCAGGCCCCAGAGGCTGCTCACCGTCGCCTTGCAGGCCCCGGGCGATCATCTGCGCCTGTCTCTTCCTCTCCTTGGTGACGCTGTCATCGAACGCGGTGTCCATCCTGCGAGTCGAGGTCGCCTGCCTGCGGACACCGCAACGCACGCACGGAACCGCAACACCTTCGCTGATCTCGCCATGCAGCATCAACCATCATGCGCACTCCGCTCATCCTCGCAGCAGCGTAGGCGGTGGCGGTGCTTGGCTATGGCCATCGGACAAAGGCGGTGGTCACCGCATCGCCCGCGTGCAGATGCGCTTCTGCGGCCGTCTGGAACGCTCTTCCTTCCGAAATTAGGAAGCCGCTGGAGCTGTGCACTTTTACGTCTAGATGGAAAACGAATTTCTTTACAACTGCTGCTTTTTGTGTTTAGTTTGTTGTACAGTGCGAACGAACTTCAACATGCATACAACAAAGACGAAGATCCCCCATATAGCCTGCACAGAACCGCTGGGGTAAGTGCTGTTAGAGCACGCACCTATTCAGGCGTCTTTGTGAGACCGGCGTAATAACAGAATCATCCTAATCTTTATTTATCCTGGAGAAATACGATGAGCTATGAAGCTCTTTTCACAGATCTCCAGTAGGGGTGGGTCAGAAAGTTACAACTGCAAACAATACAACATGATAGGCGTGCAGAGTATAGGAATCGAAAGCAAATATCTAAAAATAAATACGTAAAATATATAAAGTATATAAGTTTAAATTGCATAAGTAACACCGACTCCCAAGCTTTGGAGCAAGAATAGTCCCAGACCACACCAAGACCACAACACACAGTCCCTCAATACAATGGCACATTCAAATTGTACTATCGATACACGGCCAAGGATGAAAGTTACAAATCACATTGGCAAATGCAGTTTGCTGTATATCCACCACTAATCGTCCGCTTCAGGATGTTTTTGGAAGGGACATTGTTGTCAATCGAGGCAGGAAACAAGGTCGTTCTGTCACCTATTCCTATTCTTGGGATAGTTAACAGGCAATTCGATGGACGCCTTGGGTTTCTTTGGATTGATACTATGGGGTTGATGAATTAGCGAAGTAGAGCGCAGATTCGCCAATGAGTAGTGTATGGATGAACAGGGCCCAACCCCTCCCCCACTGCTCATCACAGTTTGTTCGCGGCTCGGGTGACATTTACAATAGGCAGTGGGAAAAAACCCCTCGTGCCGTGAAGACTCGGCTCGGGTGGGCCAGTGAGGGTGCCACAGTGGCCAGGAGATGTTAACTACCTCGCCTGGTAAACAGGAGGTCGTGTGGTATGCAGAAGGTCGTGTGGTATACAGGAGGTCGTGTGGTATACAGGAGGTCGTGTGGTATACAGGAGGTCGTGTGGTATACAGGAGGTCGTGTGGTATGCAGGAGGTCGTGTGTTCGACCCTGACGCCTGCTGCTGCTGTGTATTTGCAGTGTGCATGTGCCGCGACACATTTCCACATTGTAAGCCGCTTCGTTGGACGGCCATTTGTGGCCAGGTCGCTTCTGAAAAAGATAATTAATTTATTAAATAAGACAGGAAACAGGTCACTATGGAATGTCTTGGTGGCAACAAAATGTGCAGCAGTTAAATTGTATTCTCCCCGTGGTGGTGCGGACTTGTCTTCGGGACCTCCTGTTTTTCCTTCCACATTGAGAATCATCACGCGTTTAGAGGATTTGGGCTGCTATAAATGCCGTCATTCGCGGCCAAGTCGCTTCTGAAAAACAGCTCTAGCTCAGTGGGCCATTACCTGATTAAAAAAAAAGTGTTAATAATAATCATGTGTCACGACTAACGACAGTGCTTCTCAGTGTCGTGTTTGTGGCCAATATTGGGCCGGCCAAGGCGGCCATGGCTCATTCCCTGTACAGAGTGCGAGCAAGATGGCCGCCTGAGGCGCGCGCTCCCAGCGGCTGGCCGCTTGTGGTGGGCAAGAGGCGCGAGCAGAGGGAGCCGACACTGACTCACTCATAACATCATACACTCACTCATCATACACTCACACATCATACACTCACTCATAGCATCATACACTCACTCATAACATCATACACTCACTCATCATACACTCACACATCATACACTCACTCATAGCATCATACACTCACTCATAACATCATACACTCACTCATCATACACTCACACATCATACACTCACTCATAGCATCATACACTCACTCATCATACACTCACACATCATACACTCACTCATAGCATCATACACTCACTCATAACATCATACACTCACTCATCATACACTCACACATCATACACTCACTCATAACATCATACACTCACTCATCATACACTCACACATCATACACTCACTCATAACATCATACACTCACTCATCATACACTCACTCACTCACACATTATACACTCACTCACTCACACATCATATACTCACTCATCATACACTCACTCATCATACACTCACTCACTCACACATCATACACTCACTCATCATACACTCACTCACACATTATACACTCACTCACTCACACATCATATACTCACTCATCATACACTCACTCATAGCATCATACACTCACTCATAACATCATACACTCACTCATCATACACTCACACATCATACACTCACTCATAGCATCATACACTCACTCATAACATCATACACTCACTCATCATACACTCACACATCATACACTCACTCATAACATCATACACTCACTCATCATACACTCACTCACTCACACATCATACACTCACTCATAACATCATACACTCACTCATCATACACTCACTCACTCACACATCATATACTCACTCATCATACACTCACTCATCATACACTCACTCACTCACACATCATACACTCACTCATCATACACTCACTCACACATTATACACTCACTCACTCACACATCATATACTCACTCATCATACACTCACTCATCATACACTCACTCACTCACACATCATACACTCACTCATCATACACTCACTCACTCACACATTATACACTCACTCACTCACACATCATATACTCACTCATCATACACTCACTCATCATACACTCACTCACTCACACATCATACACTCACTCACACATCATACACTCACTCACACTACCACTGACTCACTCACACATCATACACTCACTCACATCATACACTCACTCACACTACCACTGACTCACTCACACATCATACACTCACTCACTCATCATACACTCACTCACACATCATACACTCACTCATCATACACTCACTCACACATCATACACTCACTCATCATACACTCACTCACACATCATACACTCACTCATCATACACTCACTCACTCACACATCATACACTCACTCATCATACACTCACTCATCATACACTCACTCACTCACACATCATATACTCACTCATCATACACTCACTCATCATACACTCACTCACTCACACATCATACACTCACTCATCATACACTCACTCACACATTATACACTCACTCACTCACACATCATATACTCACTCATCATACACTCACTCATCATACACTCACTCACTCACACATCATACACTCACTCATCATACACTCACTCACTCACACATTATACACTCACTCACTCACACATCATATACTCACTCATCATACACTCACTCATCATACACTCACTCACTCACACATCATACACTCACTCACACATCATACACTCACTCACACTACCACTGACTCACTCACACATCATACACTCACTCACATCATACACTCACTCACACTACCACTGACTCACTCACACATCATACACTCACTCACTCATCATACACTCACTCACACATCATACACTCACTCATCATACACTCACTCACACATCATACACTCACTCATCATACACTCACTCACACATCATACACTCACTCATCATACACTCACTCACACATCATACACTCACTCATCATACACTCACTCACACATTATACACTCACTCACTCACACATCATATACTCACTCATCATACACTCACTCATCATACACTCACTCACACATCATACACTCACTCATCATACACTCACTCACACATCATACACTCACTCATACACTCACTCAATCACATCATACACTCACTCATCATACACTCACTCACACATCATACACTCACTCATCATACACTCACTCACACATCATACACTCACTCATCATACACTCACTCATCATACACTCACTCACACATCATACACTCACTCACACATCATACACTCACTCACACTACCACTGACTCACTCACACATCATACACTCACTCACATCATACACTCACTCACACTACCACTGACTCACTCACACATCATACACTCACTCACTCATCATACACTCACTCACACATCATACACTCACTCATCATACACTCACTCACACATCATACACTCACTCATCATACACTCACTCACACATCATACACTCACTCATCATACACTCACTCATCATACACTCACTAACATCATACACTCACTCATCATACACTCACTCACTCACTCATCATACACTCACTCACACATCATACACTCACTCATCATACACTCACTCACTCACACATCATACACTCACTCATCATACACTCACTCACACATCATACACTCACTCATCATACACTCACTCACTCACACATCATACACTCACTCATCATACACTCACTCACTCACACATCATACACTCACTCACACATCATACACTCACTCACACATCATACACTCACTCATCATACACTCACTTACACATCATACACTCACTCACATCATACACTCACTCATCATACACTCACTCACACATCATACACTCACTCACACATCATACACTCACTCATCATACACTCACTCACATCATACACTCACTCACACTACCACTGACTCACTCACACATCATACACTCACTCACATCATACACTCACTCACACTACCACTGACTCACTCACACATCATACACTCACTCACACTACCACTGACTCACTCACACATCATACACTGGAAGTGTCATGCTGCCAGCTATGGCTGCAAGTTTGGTCGTACGTGTTATGTATTCGTTTATTGTTAATTTTTAATCACAGTTCCTATGATTACTGTTATTGCATTGTTTTTATAGCTTTATTTTGGTGAAACATATGGTTAATCTAAATTGTCTGATGGTTATTGTTGACTTGCACCACATTGAGATTTTTGCACGCAGCATTTTAATGCGTTTTTTAAAATATATTTGCTGGTTTATTCCAGGATGTTTCTGTTACACGTCGTCGCTTTAAGATGTTCTGTGTTCATATTTTGTTTGTTGCGGTTGCACCCGACTTAAGAGCCGCATGGCTCACAGGGCTATACTTAATACATGAACTTGAACTTGGCTCTCTCTGTCTCGCAGCTCGGCACAAAAGACAGAGGTGGATAGCGGAGGGCATGCAGAAAAGCAGACTAAACTAAACTATTTTTTATTTTACTAGGTAAGGCCCCCTGAGCTATATAGCTCTTTCTCAGATAAGACCTGGCCACAGAAGATAGCTCAACGAAGTGGCTTATAATGTGGAAATGTGTAAGCATTCAAGGAGGCCGCATTTGTTGCGCTGCGCGACAGCCTCGTGAATGCACCCCACCGTCGATACCACAATTTCTCCTTGCCATTTATGTTGGATACGGATGCCAATGATTCCAGGATCGGCGCCGTATTGTCGCAGGTGGAGAACGCGGTGGAGAGCGTAGTCACTTACATTAGTTTGGTACTGTCCCCCGCAGAGCAGCGCTATTGTGTTACACGCCACGAGTTATTGGCTATCGTGCACTTTGTACAGCAGTACTGTCCATACCTCTATGGTAGGAAGTTCATGGTACGCACAGATCACGCGGCTTTGCAATATGCGCTACGAGTTGACCAGCTGTTCGCACAACTCTCGCGATGGTTTGAAATTCTGCAAGATTATTCGTTCGTAGTCACCTATAGGAAAGGGTTGCGCCACTGTAATGCGGACGCTCTGTCACGGTTATCGCCGAAGAGCCAGTGCGCATGTTTGATGGGCACCGGCCATTGTAAGCAGGTGGATGCGGGGGAGCCGGGCACCTTTGTAACGTCGGTGGATGCTCCGCCACCCGTAACGGGGGTGGCACGCGATAATACTATTGGGCTTACACATGAGGAATGGGGGCACCTACAGGCGAAGGACGCCTCCTTACTGAAAATACGGCGCCGAGTTGGTACGCCAAGCAACAGGAAAGGTCCAGGAGGTATGTCCCCCGTGGTCCTCCGAGATGGGCTACTAATGCGCTGGGATACGGAGGTACAGCGGTACTGTATCGTGGTGCCAGCTGCTCTGTGGGGTAGGGTAACGAGAGCTGCCCATGTACGAGTGATGCACCTAGGGGTGCAGAAAACGTTGTCTACGTTGAAGCGCGACTTCTTTTGGCCTGGGATCTTGGAAGACGTCCACAATGTGCTTGCCGGAAGCCCCCGCCGAGGCTGAACCGACCACCACTGCAATTTATTGAGATGTCCCATGGAAACGAGCTCGTTGCCCTCGACATCCTCGGGCCATTCCCCACCACTCCGAGGGGAAACACATTCTTGCTGGTAGGGGTAGAGTACCTGTCGCGGTGGCCGGTGGCATGGCCCCTGCGGGATCAGTCGGCGGCGTCCATTACGGATGCGTTCCTGCATGGTTATGTATTGGATAAAGGGGCTCCGGAACGTCTCCTCATGGACCAGGGTCGAAATTTTCTTCAAAATTGTTACAAGAGGTATGTGATTTGTTAGGGACAAAGATAATTGGAACTTTGCCCTACCATCCCCAGACTGACAGAATTGGTAGAGCGTTTACATAGGACCCTTACGTCCATGTTGCGCCAACAAGTTAACGAGGCACAGTCCGATTGGGACCGACACGTTCCGGGTGTTCTTGCGGCCTATAGGATGGCCCCTCATGCCTCTACCGGGTGGTTCTCCCCGCTTGTTTTTATGTACGGGAGGGGATGCGACCCCCCCATGGAAGCCCAGTTAAATATTGAGCCCAGCAAGTAGAGAGCCATTGTGCTGGAACTTATGAGCCTCACCCTTAAGCGGTTCCGGTGGAACCTGGTCCCACAGAACCCTGGTCCCGTGGAACATGGTCCCGTGGAACCTGCTCCCGCGTGCATGGTGCAGCTTTACCAGAGGCTATGCTCATTCACCTTCATCGGCGGAAACGTTTGTCGGTGGGTGACAAGAGACCATCGCCCCCACAGGGTCACATTGGCTGTTGGGAACCACGGACGCGATGTCCCCGTGCACTCCACGGTGTCCTCTTGCCTTCCATCGCATCATCGTGTTCATATCTCATCATTGTGTTCATATCGTAAGCGTAAGATATTTGTCCGCAATGTGTTCATTCACGATCATTGTGCGATCCCTGGATGAAGAGCGCTCCTCTATAAGTCCGAATTGCTGTTGTTGTTGTCGTCCTTTCAGGGGTTGTGTCACAGAGTGGAGGACGCTGGGGTGGCGTGTTGCTCCCCCTTGGACCGGTTTGGTGGCGAGTGAAGATTCGATTCCCCTGCACGCGTTCTGCCTGGGTGTACATAATCTCTGGCAGGAAATGCTACTCGACAAGACCCATGAGGCTGCTTGAGGGATGACGATTCATTATTCAACCGTGGCGATTTAAGAGACGTTAAATTTCCTTCCTGTCGTGTTTAGATCACATTTATTAACTTGGCACACGGTAAATTGTTACATAGTGGAGATATATTTGTAGTCAAAAAAGTTGTGAGATAATGTTTTCGTAACAAAGTAAAAGAGTCTCCCTTGAGCAATGGTCTGAGTCTCAGATCCGTTGCTGGCCCTGAGCAAGTGGTGGACACTCCACATTACTAGAGCAGTGCCCAGTCTACCCTCTTCCTAATCAGCACCAGTATTGTTGGCTTTCCACCACCACATGGTGGAAACTCCACGTTACTCTGGAAGGATCTTGTTGACCGTCAATGAACGCTGCTAACACCACCGACTTTCCTGGGATTGGCGAGAAGCTCGCGTTACTATGACAGGGCCAAGTGCATCCTCGTGTCATGCCACCACTGCGGTGAAGTTACTCCCCAACCTTGGAGAGACTGATGATGGTGATGACAGAGATGACAGCGATGATGGCCATGACGGTGACAGTGATGATGGTGATGATGATAATGATGATGATGACTAATGCATATGACAATGTTGTTCAGGTTGATCAGAATGATAATGAATTGACCCTGGCCGGGAATTAAACTCGAGGGTCTCGTATGACCTCGGCTTGCTGAGCCCAACTGGGCCGCATCTCAATCTGACTCGACTCGGTATCCTGCACACACACTGCGCGGAGTCTTCGTACACTCCGTGTCTCGTCGCGTGATGGAACCAGTCGTGTAGACCACACACACACACACTCACTCTCTCTCTCTGGCTACTGTGTTGTGGCCTGCCTGCAACGTCACCGACACAGCTGCGCTAGCGAGAAAATAACTCCAGTGTTTTAGGAGTCCATGAAAACTCACTCACACTCACTCACATTGGAGTCCATGAACACTGACTCACACACACACTCACTCACATAGGAGTCCATGAACACTCACTCACTCACACACTCACTCACTTATACACTCACTCACGCACTGACTCACTCACTGACTGACTCACTCACTCACTGACTCACTCACTCACTGACTCACTCACTCACTCACACACTCACTGACTCACTCACTCACTGACTCACTCACTCACTGACTCACTCACACACTCACACACTCACTGACTCACTCACTCACTGACTCACTCACTCACGCGCTCTGCGACACGACCCGGCGGGTGCGTGTTGCCCGCGCGTTGCAGAGGTTCGCGGTTTGAATCGGGCAGGCCGCCCCGATTAATACGTGTGGGTGTATTAACCGTCGTTAAGGCTACGCCTCGTCGTCGTCTGCTTCGATCACGGCGGATGTCACAGACGCAGTGAGGTCATTCGCAAAAGTCGGCCTTCTGTGTGCCGGCAGGCGTTAGGGGGTGCCAATTTCGTTTTCCGGATTTAAAAAACGACACCGCAATGTACACACATTACACGAGAGGAGGCGATCATTGCTCGCCGACTGTGAAACAATCGGCAGGACCCTCCTGCAAACGACTCGTGAGACTCAATGAGACTCTCCTGGGCAACTTAATAAATGTTCGAACAACAACAACAACACCACAACAACCATCGCATGATTTTACAGGGGGTAAGTGAAACGCATTGCACATAGTCCGCACACGAGGACGGATCGCAGCGTTTCTCCTTCTCGCATGACAACTCGGGGGCAGCTGGAGGGCAGCCGGAGACAGTTATGGAGGGGGGGGCAGCTGGTGGGGGCAGCTGGGGGCAGTTAAGGGGGGCAGCTAGGGGGGTATCGAAGGGGGGCAGCTGTGGGGCAGCCGGGGGCATCAGGGGGGGGGGCAGCTAGGGGGGTATCGAGGGGGGGCAGCTTATGGGGGCAGCTGGGGACAGTTAAGGGGGGCAGCTAGGGGGTATCTAGCGAGGGCAGCTTGTGGGGGCAGTTAAGGGGGGACAGCTGGGGAAGTTTGGGGGGCAGCTAGGAGGGGCAGCTGTGAGGCAGCTGAGGGCAGTTAGGGGAGGGGGGCAGCCAGGCGGCACCCAGGGGCAGCTAGGGGGGAGCAGCCGGGGCAGCTAGAGGAGGGGGCAGCTGTGGGGCAGCCCAGGGGTGTCAGCTTGAGCGATGCCGTCCGAGTGGAGTTCGTGGTCACTTCAGAACTCATTCACACGACTGACCTGTGTGCACGGGGGGTTGGTGCACGGGGGGTTAGCGCATGAGGTGTTCGTGCAAGCGTGTTAGAGATGCGGCGTTGGTTCTGAGCGCGCGGTACCTGGAGCGGTGTGGCGGGGCGCTCTTGCTGGTGCCGGGAGACGGACGCGAGTGGCGGGGAGAGGTGGTGCCGTGCTGCCAGCGAGTGCGGAGTGGGGAGTGTGGAGTGAGTGAGTGCCCTTGGGCTGTGGGCGGCCAGGGACAAGCACAGACGACCCTACCCCACCCCCCACACACATAGCCACACAGCCAGATACACACACACACAGCCAGATACACACACACACAGCCAGATACACGCACAAACATAGCCACACAGCTAGACACACACAACAACAACCGCCATTCGCCACTAAGTGGCGGTGACGTCACCACAACGCTTGTGCCAGGCCATGTGCACCTTGAGGCCACGTGAAGTGTCGAACGCCCGCTGGCCGGAGGTCACGGGGCAGACCCAGGTGCCACGGGTCGACTGACTGAGACGACTGGCTGATGCACCACCTGTGCCCCCTACTGTGCCACTTTGCTGTGCTTTATCCACCCGGCGCTCCGCTCGTTGTTGTGAGCGTCGCTCCTCCGCCCTCCGTTGTTGTTGGAGGACGACTACCTCCAACTGCTCAGTGGCGTCCTTCACGAGCCTCCTCCACAGAGGCCGATCTTGACACCGCTGCTACCAGTCATCGGCAAGTCCACTAAGCTCCACATCCTCCTGTACCACTTCACTCCATCTCTTCTCTAGCCCATGCCGCGTCCGTTTAGCCCCCTCAATCCGGCCGAACAAAAGCTGTTTAGGCATGCGGTGGCTGGGCATGCGGGCTACATGACCCAGCCAACGCAGCCTTGCCTGCCGCAGGAGCTCACCGATGGGACTTTTCCCAGATCTTTCAAGGATTTGTTAGCTCCTCACACAATCCAGCCTGGTTAAACCCAGGATGGATCGTAGGCAGGCCAGCCTAAATGTTTCTAACCGGCGAAGATGTTCCATTAGTGGAGTCCACGTTTTGCAAGCGTAGAGAAGGGAGGGAATGACCCTGGCCGAGAAGACCTGAAGCTTCGTGCGGATCGATAGACCAGGTAGCTTCCACACAGCGTCACGCAAACCGATGAAAAGATATTGCCGCTCGACTGATTCGGAGTGAGACCTCTGCTGTTAAACCGGAGCCGGTCATGAACACACTGCCCAGGTATGAGAAATTCTCCACTCTCTCCACCACCACCCCATCACCGATTGGGAGTTGTGGGGGTGGAGTGTCCGATGGTACAAAATACCCAGGTAGGTGCTTAGTTTTGGTGGGGCTGATGGTAAGGCGCCACCTCTTAGTGGCACGCTCCAGTTCCAGCAGCAGCGTTTCTAACTCCTCCTCTGAATGAGCAGCAATTACCAAATCATCGGCATACATAACGTGGTTGACCAATATGGAGCCATCCCTTGACCGTACCCGTACATCGATAAGCCTCCCATTATATCTGTACCAAATGGAAATTCTTCCGGTACAGCTATTGAAGGCTTCACGAAATACGTGGTCAAAATAGATGTTAAATAATGTGGGAGCCAGAGGACATCCCTGTTGCACCCCAAGGTGTACGTAGTTTTACCCGGGGCCGCTCACCATCATGAAGGTCCTTAATGATCGTGAGCAAAGGGTCAGGGACTCCGAAAGCACGAAGAACAACCCAGAGCCAAGGCCCACTGATGGCATCATAGGCCTTGACCAGGTCAATAAAGCAGAGATGTCGGTCTTGTTGGAATTCCCTACACCTCTGCTGTAGCAGACGGACAGAAAATATGGCATCTGTGCAGGACCGCCCTTTCCTGAAACCGCATTGGGGCTCTGCAAGCCTCTCCTCAGCGTGCCTAGCAAGGCGATGTTGAATAATCCTTGCCAGGACCTTTCCCGGCACACTGAGGAGTGAGATGCCCCTGTAGTTGTTACAGTCTGTGCGGTCCCCCTTCTTAAAGAGGGGGGCCTCCAGGGCATCCTTCCAGTTCTGCGGAACCCGTCCACTGGTCCAGACTGTTGTAATGTCATGTAGGGCAGTCTGTGAACAAACGCCACCCTCCCTCAGAATTTGGCTTGGGAGATCATCTCTGCCCGGTGCCTTTCCTGGTCTCAGACTCTGGATCGCCTTCAGTACTTCCTCAACAGATGGCGCCTCAGACAGCCACTCACAGGGGGTGACTTCCTCTTCCAATATTTGAGGCACCACAGCCTCAGCAGGGTCATCCCCACTTTGTCCCACGATGTTTTCCATATGGAGGGATTTCTCCTCCCCAGGACTTCACAGACATGCTCAGCAAATCTGCAAACCTGTTCCTGGGAATCGGAGATTGGATCACCGTTTTTCCCCCTAATGATGGTAATAGGTGTGGCGCTGCAGGTTACTTTTTTGATGGAATTAAATAGGGATTTGTGATCGCGGGCCATTGAGGCAGACTTCATCTCCTCAGCAACCCGCGACCACCACCCATCCTTGCAGCGCCTCACGGCTCTCCGAACCTCCGAGCGAAGGCTGCGGTAATCCTCATTCTCCGACGTGGGATGCTGTAGCTGAAGAGAGTGGGCCTGTCGCTTTTTCTCAGCCAGCTTGAACACTTCCTCTGTCAGCCAGGGTCTCTGGGTAGGTCTGGACCGCGTACCCAAAGCAGCCATTGCAGCTGCCTGAGTCACAGTCCTAAACCTCACCCATTTGCCCTCGACATCTGGAGGAGTGGGGGACGATGCCAACCCCAGCCGCAAGCGATGATGAAATTCTCGCTTGCAACTTTCATCAGCTAGCTGAGATCAGGCCACCTTAGGTTTGAATGGGGTCTTGGGTGTACACCCACCACCGGAGTGGAAGAATGGCAGGCGCATCTTACAGATGACTAGTCGATAGTCAGAGGGTAGATCAGCTCCACGGTAGGTCCTGGTGTCAAGAACATGGGCTCGCATCCGCTGGTCCGTCACTATGTAGTCCAGCAGATGTTCTTGCTTGGACCCGGCATGTATCCATGATGTTGTGTGGATGCGCCGATGCCGGAACAGCGTGTTGGTAATTACAAGCCCATGGGCTGCACAAAAATCTAGCAGCCTCCTATTGTTGTTATTGAGCTGATCTGGCCCATGCCTTCCAATCACTCCAGACCTGGTGCCAGCATCATGACCAACTCGAGCATTGAAGTCACCCAACAAGATGAATCTATCCCGAGGGGCCACTTTAGCCAGCACCTGTGACAGGCGGTCATAGAAGGCATCTGACTCATCGACTTTGCCTGCATCCTTCCACGGATGTTCGTCTCACCACTCCTCGCCTCTGGTTGATGGGAAGGCGAGCCAAAAGTAGCCTGGGGCTTACAGCTTCCCACACCTCACCGATACGCTCCCACGCCCCCTTCATTCTTTTGTTCAGAAGAAGAGCCACACCCTGTTGTTTGGCAGTCTCCTGCCCCGAGTAGAGGACTGTCCACCCCTCATGGTGGCAGTAGCCAGAGCCGGTCCACCGGACCTCCTGAATGATATACACACACACACATAGCCACACAGCCAGATACACACACACACATAGCCAGATACACACACAGCCAGATACACACACACGCAGCCACACAGCCAGATACAAACACACACATAGTCACGTACACGCAGCCAAATACACACAGCCTGATACGAAACAAAGATCCCCCTATCGTCTAAACAGACTGTAGGTGCAACTGCTGTTAGCGAGTCGCACCTAAGAAGGCCGGAACGGCACACGAGGGGGTGGGTGGCCAGCACCATGCCCGGCCGCCTTTGTTTCCCCAGTAGCGATGTTCACACACTGCACCAGGTATTCATTTGAGGCTGAGCCAACCTATAGGGGAGGCCCAGGTCCGGTTCAGATAATCGTCACTGGGTGTTGACCGTGAGCGGGAATCAAACCCCGGTCCGCCGCGCAGCGCGCTAACCGCGACACTACCGCTCCCCACATAGACGCATACACAAAGACAAATGTCCCCCGTATATCCTTTAACAGACTGTTGGGGCAAGTGCTGTTAGCGGGCAGCACCTCTTCACACAGATGCAATGACTACGGCTGCATACGCCCGCACCCCCTGTGACATAACCGCCCTTAATGCGCCCACATCTCTCACCCGCTCTCAAGAGCTCAGCAAGTTTGTGCCTGGTTGCAACGTAGATGAGGGGCGACCACCACCAGCATCGTCACCACCACGACCAGGGCTTGCCAGGTGTTGTAGGCGCGGTGGCTCCTGCGAGCTGTGGGCCCAGAGAAGCCAAGTTGTCTCCTCCCCCCACCCTCGTGTGGGGATTCTCTCAGCTGGCGGCGGACAAAGCGACGAGTCGGGGACCCCCCTGACAACCAGCACGAAATTTGTTTTCAACAACGGTGTAAAAACAAGAACAGTAATTATTTAAAACGCGGTTTAAATTTAAATGTATTTGAATGAAAATGCTTTAATTTACGTTCCACATTATATTTTAATGTCACTCGCATTTAAAAAAACTGCGCCAAATCAAATATTGGGGCCCCTACTCCACCGATTGCCGCCCCCCGCACCCTGAGCTTATGATGTCGTTAACCACCCCACGGGATTTGGCCAAACTCCTGGACGCCTGTGGCAAAAAATGTTACAGCTCATCGCATTCCTCCAGTGTGGGTATGTGTTCACGACGATCGTCGTCAATCAGCGACAGGCGCCGAATATTCACGATAATCATCGACAGGCGCTGAAGCGTGGACGAGAACGACAGCGGCTGGAGGCAGCGGCTGGAGGCAGCGGCTCAGACCCGCAGGAGGGGACGGCGAGAGAGCACGGCACTGACCGACGACTGAGATTCAGCACGGCCCCTTTGTGAGCCAGGCAGAGGCACGGGGCCCATGGGGAGATGCACGGCAGAGAGAAAGACGCGGGGAGACGCAGGGAGATGCACGGAGGCTCAGGCACGGATCGCGGGCGCCCCCGTGTGATGGGCAGTGGAGACGCGGGAAGTGGGGAACCACAGGGGCTCAGTGGAACTGACTACGTATGGTGCGAAAAAAGTTCAACGTACATACTGAGACACTCAGAGGGGAGATAGTCTCTACTGAGACACCCAGAGGGGAGAAAGACTCACTGAGACACCCAGAGGGGAGAGAGTTTCACTGAGACACCCAGAGGGGAGAGAGTCTCACTGAGACATCCAGAGGGGATAGAGTCTCACTGAGACACCCAGAGGGGAGAGAGTCTCCA